TATCTCTTATCCAAGAAAATCCATGCATGTTTATGTAACCCAAGTTTAAAATTCTTTCTAAAGAGTATTGTGAAAATATTGAAAATACGAAAACAACAAAGCTGTATACAACTGAAGAAGGCATTTTATTGATATTAAATAAAAAAACTTCTAACTGCAAATTTATTTGAAAAATAATCTGCCGTAAAGATGGTGTTTTCTTATGAAAAATATTGTGATATTTAAAAAATGTACATGTTCATGTACTTTACATATGCTATTTTGAATAAAGACTTATTGGTCTTCTGCCACGAACAGCTGCCCAATAACGGTCTATTTATGTACAGTACATCAGAAAAGCCCATGAATAAATTTTTCATTAAAAATGAGCAAACAATTTCGATAACCTTTGACTCTTAAATATTTAAGGAATCACATACTAGTTAGTATAGTATGCCAGGGCATCAACGATAGTGGGAAACATGGGATAATTTGCATAACGGGCGAAGCCCGTTATTCATAAATTATCCCATGTTTCCCACTATCGTTGATGACCCTGGCAGACTATACTAACTAGACAGTGATACCTTATATTTCCATTTCAATGTGAAATAAAATTGTAGATTTAGAATTTAAAAATGTAGACATAGACTTAAATTACATGAGGACTTCCATGCCAATTTCAATAGTCCTCGCCCGCTGACGTCAAACACTTAGGCAGCCGCATGAGATTTACATGCATATTTGGCCTCGTTAGCGTCAGACACAGAGACAAATGCGCATGAGATTTGCATGCATATTAGGCCTCCTTAGCTCCTGACCTATCGACCTGCCTAATTTACATTCCGGCAGAATTATCAAGAAATAAACTCCGACAACTTTCAAAGAGTTATCAGAGAGGGAAAAATTAGAAATGGAAATATAATGGATTTACGTTCCATTTCTCCATTTATTATCAGATATAGTTAATAAAATGTTAACAACACACCGTATGCCTTGAAAATAAATCTTAAACACTACTAAATGACAAATCTTGACTGTATGCACAATGTTTATATCAATTTTGTTTTAAAATAACATTGAATGGTGCGTGCAGTGGGAGATAAAAGTATATCATATTGATTGAAAACATATGTTCCCAGCACATGCAATGTTTTGCCACTTGAGCAGTATAAATCGATATGTACATAACTGATAAAACTTAGTTCGGTTCTCTAATTCCTTTGCTGTTTTCATGACCGTAGGAAGCAATATCTGTTTGGGAGGAGGCCAAACATTTTCCGGTTCCTATGGCCATTGTTTTATTTTTACTTAGCCCCGTCAATAAATGTTTAATCATTAATAAATTTAGATTCATCAGAAAGATTAATTTTTCTGAATATATTATAAACTCTTAGAAGTCACCTCAGCGGAGACATTAATTTTATGAGCTCAAACACGGAAGTGATCAAAATTAGAACATAGAAACGTTATATAGCATCATTGTGTGCCGCCTACATTTTCAGTTTACTTCTGAGGACGTTAACTTTATATTCGAACCCTTAATGTGCAAAGAAATCAGTTTACATATAAATCGTCTCATATTACATTCTAATTACTTTGTTAATAGTATATATTGTGGTAAAATGGATAAAAAGAATGTATGGTGAATATCGATCAAAAAAATTTAAATCCTATTCCAAATATGTAAGTATTTTTTAGAATGTTTAGACTTTTTAAAAATAAAAGTATCATTAACAGTTACAAATAAGAAAATATTATATGGAAATATTTTTAAATAGGTTAAATATGCTAAAGACGACGTTCCTCCTTTTCTGCATATTGCTTGAAGTGTGTACAAAAGAAACACCCCAAGATTTCATCAGTAAATTCAACAAGTACAACTCCGTATGTCAAGGAATGGGATACAAAACAATGAACTGTTCTGGAACAGAAAAAAGAAGTAATCTTACTACTCTCTTTCTAGAATGTTAAACATAAAATGTTTCATTTTCTATTCAGTATACATGAAATTCTTTTGTTTGTCTAAGAAAATTAATATCCCACTTTGTTAAAATCATAATTTTTATCAACAAGTGTAAAATGCATGCAAGATAATATCAGAACTTCTAATCTTCTGCGTACCGATTTGTCAAAAGTATATTTTCTACTGTTGAATATAATGCGTAACTTACACATTGCATTTGTTTTGAACAGACATCATTGCTTTTCATGCACTTTTGTCTAAACGTCAAGAGAATCTTGGAAAGAGTGTTGTCGTTGTATTTGGAAACGTAAAACTGAATACTGGAAAGGCTTATGACGGTACCACTGGGAAATTCACAGCACCTGAAGATGGTTTCTACTCGTTCACGTGGACCATTCTTACGCATTATGGGAAATATTTTAACACGGAAATTGTTCACAATGGTAACATTATTGGTTATAATCATGTGGATGGTGTCACGGGCAGTTCGAGCCACTCTTCCGGATCTTCGTCAGCAATAATTAAAATGATGAAGAATGATAAAGTCTGGATAAGAACACATGGTGGAGATGGAAAATTCGCATTTGAAAACTGGTCATCGTTTTCCGGATTTAAATTGTAGCATGATTAATGTCTTAAATAAAGATATTCTAACATTGAATATGATGTCATCGTCACCTTTGGATATATTTAGATACATGTACATGCATTTTCTACAGAAGAACATTAATGACAAAATAACTACTATTGCTTGAAAGAAAAGCTTTAATTTATAAAATAGAAGAGATATACCGGCCTCGTGAGTCGTTATTTTTTTAACTTTTGATATTTACCATACACTATAGTACAAATATACGCATATTCAGCGTCATTTTCAATTTAATCTTAAGGTCGAGATCCAGTAAATGAAAGATGCCTACATATTTATCAATTTTGAGAAATAAATTTCTTTAATGATGCTGTACAACTTTAGCTTGTTCGAATAAGTTGTTTAGGGACATGATTTGTAGGTAAACAAGATGAAAAAAACCATATTTTAAACTGTTATTTTCATTCACAAAGTTTATACTTGTTTTCTAATTTTTCAAAAAACTGTTAACTCAATGATATAATTTTTATCAGTACTATTTCAAGATATGTGAAAGGGATAAAGATTCTAATTCTCACCAAAGATAACGGTTGAGTATACAGTGTGCTGTAAAATGTTTCAAATACAGATATTTCAAGAGTTGAATTCATATTTTCATAGTCATTGTCACCTTTGGATATAGATACATGTACATGTATTTTACTAGAGAAAGACTTTAATGGTGAACTAACTACTAAAATTTTGTTAATAAAAAATGTGACGACTTTCTTTATTTTTGAACAATTTTATCTTGACAACTGATATTCAAATTTTTGATGATCATTAAAATACCTTAATTAAATGTTTGTAAACATAAAAAAAATGGAAAATTAAATATGAAATTTTTTAGCTGAAACTGTCTCCGTGTCCCTTTAACATGTGTTAAGCAACTTATATTGTATTACAGATAATAAAGGATTTTTGCGAGAAGCACAATCTTTTACATTGTGTACGAAGGTACAGAATTGATAATAATTAAGAAAACCTTTCTAGTGGTCATAGGTATGGTGTTAGGGGCACTAAAATGTGAAAGCCAGTAGTTGAGGGTAAGGTGGTTGTCATTTTCTTCATGAACAACTTATTCGTGCGTTGAAATAACCCATTATTTTCATTGAATTAATTATTGTGCTAAATATTTATATCATAAAAGAGCTTCCTTTGGCCTTGTCCTAGTGCAAAAGTAAGCCGTCAACTGTAAAAGTCAGCACTCCTCGTAATTGTCCAATACAAGGCTTCAAACATAAATTCCAGATCAAGTTGCCAGGACTTCCTCCACTGTAATCTTTGTGAAGATACCATGGCACAATGGATGTAATGTTGTTTGTAAAGCTGTGCAGACTTTGTGTAGGAGAACAAAATTAATTAATCTCTAGAAAACATGATGTTACATTCCTGAGTTTGAAAAATATCCAAGCTTGTGTACCCCGTCTTATCTATATCTAAAGAACATCAAGAAGCTCATTGTGAAGAATCAGTGGTGGATTTAAGGGGGGGGGGCATCTTTCCCCCCCCTAAAATTGTCAAATTTAACGTCGATCACAGTTTCGTATAGAAAATGTAAATATGTATACTTGATAGACCTCATTTTTACCCTACAAAATCTCTAGAATCCAGGAGCTTCCCTGGGCCCCAAAAAGGGCTTTGCCCTGGACCCACTGGGGGCCTCAAGGCGGCCCCCAGACCCCTTGCCTACATTTGCCCCCCCCCCCCCCCCCCCTCTAACTTCAATTCCTGGATCCGCGCCTGAGAATGTTATATTCCAGTAAGATTAAAATGTGTTACCTTTGTCAAATATAAGGGGTAACACTTTATGCTTCCACAAGACTTACTGAACTCTCAAACAAAATATACAGAGAAAGAGAAACTTTTAATCCAACATGTACTAAACTACATCTATTCCATCAAAGACATGTAAAATCATGAAAATTGTATGTACTTTGTGTAGAGGAATTTTATTGCACAGTCACTGACTACAGTTTTATAGAGCATGTTGATATAACCAGAACATCTGCTGCATAAGAACTCATATTTCACAATCCGTACATGTAACTCTCTAATATGTATAAATTCATCTATACTTGCTAATTATATAATGTCAACATATTGCATATCATAAAAAAATTCTTATTCAAATATTAACTCTATGGGTGATAAATAAAATCCTAAGGATAATTTCATCATTAATCACAATAAATTATATGAAAATTCATTCACTGTCAACATGGTCATCCACAATATGATTACAAATTGAACAGATGATAACGATTGACATGGTAAAATGATTAAAGTATGAGTTGAGCTTGTTAATTTTACTTTTTAAAAGATGCACCTTCTTATCATAGATCAACCTTCTAATCAAATAGCCATTTCCATTTCTTATGCAAAAAATGTTTAAATCTATATAAAATTTTCATATGGAACAGTAAAAAATTAAAATTCTAACATTAGATTGACAATCTGGAATGGATTAAAAGACAAATAAATATTGTTGTCAATAACTTCCAGCTTAGGTGACTTTCCTACTTCCAGAATTTCCTCTAATCCATTGCACCTAAAATGAAAAGCAATAAAGCCATTTCTACAAACCCTTTCAAATTGTAAAACATGAAAAAAGAAGACATGTATGTGATTTTTTTTACCTTTGAACTTTTTTGAATGGAAGCTCAACAGTTAGCTTGACCTTGGTGTGACCTCCAAAGCACTCATACAGTCTTAACACCAGAGCATTGTCCCTGTCTTCACTCTTTATTATAAAAACATGAACATTTGTAAAACTAACATGCATCTGGAAACATGAATTGCATAACTTTTATATTTTCATGTCAATTGTTAATGCAGTTTATAAGTGGTGATATAATGCAGAACATTTGAGAAAATATTGAGTGCAAATCTGTGTCTATGCATCTTTATATCATCAATCAAGAAAACAAAAGTTTTAATAAAATGACAAAGTTTGACATACATATGCTTACGTCTTTATTTAGTAGGATTATAATTTTCTTTCCAAATTTGCATTGAATTTCGTTAGACAAGTATATTAGGTTGAGAAATTGAGAATTAAAAAAATATTTTAAACACTTTCCAGGATGTTTATTTCATCAAGGTAGTAAATATAGGGACTAATACATGTTGTAAATTTGTTCTCACCTTTTTGACAGTTTCCAAAATGACCTGTGGATCATCAACAGAAAAGAAACTTTTGGATTCTTGTACATCCTTAGCTAGTTTAACAGTCTGCACATCTAGGGGGTTGTTTAATTCATAGGCTGCCTTTATGACCCCAGCAGACTGAAAACTTCCTGTTAAATTAAAAATAAAATTAAATGTCTTTTCTCTGGCTTCAACACAGAAGATATTTTATTATAGTGAAAGTTGTTTATTGCATTGAAACACTTTTCCATACTTTCAAGAAGTTATAATTGAAATGGAAATTATTTTCTTGGAATAACAGCACTGCATTTATAGACAATTATCGATACATATCTTTTGAGCAGTTTTCGACGATACATGTACATATAACAAGAACTTAATTAATTTATTGCAAAATACAACTAAGTTTTTGCCAATAAAATAAAATAAATTAAAATGAAAAATTTAAAAACAGTAAATCTTATTAAAATATGGGTTAAAAAATTCTCATTAGTGCAAATTATCAATCATTATGCTACCTTGGAAAGGCATGATAGCATAGGTAAATGTATGGGTTCCCATGTCAGCCTCCTTGTCTGGTGATTTGGGAGATCTCAACCTACACAGAAATTAGATGTGGACTTATGAATGGCTTATTTATTCCACTATCACTCCTGTCTTTGTACTCGCATCCACGTATCCTGTGCGAGGATGTGCAATGGAGTCTAAGAAGGTGGTAAAATTTTGTTTCTCATGGAGGCGAGAAATAAAATCCGCCTTACAATTAAGCTTACCAGGTACATGTTTGGCAGTAAATCTGAAATTGTAAGTGGCCGAGAGCCAAAACAAACTGCGCAAACATTGCATGAGAGCAGAATTTTTTGACATGCATTTATTAATACTGGCCACTGTGGCTGAGTTGTCAGAAAACATAGTAACCCTATGGTGGGCCCAGAGTGGGGCCCAGCGATGAGCCGCAATAACAACAGCCAAGATTTCTTTTTCGTTGATATGCATATTGGTTGCCGAAGGTAAATCTAATTCCCAATTGCAATAGAACCAGTCGTGATTCCATGAACCCCCTGCACCCAGTGTGCAGGCATCAGTGTAAACTGATGTAATGGGCTTAGTGTGAAGAAGTAAGGACTTCCCATTGAAAGTTTGAAGGAATTGGCTCCACCAGGAAATATCCTGGAAGATCTCACCTGACAAGCGAATCTTGTGAGATTTGTGTTTGAGGCCGGTAAAGGCATTGATAATGCGGCGCAGGAACACTCTTCCACCGTATACCACTGATGCGGCCCATTAAGTTTCCCAGCTAGGGATTGCAATTGGTGCTTTGAAGCACGTTTGCGCTCTGTAAAGAGATTTAGCTCGTTGCGAAGCTCAGATAACTTGCCAGCGGGCAGCCTAAGTTCCATATCGACACTACTAATTTCTATGCCTAGAAAAACTAATACCTGGGAGGGGTCAACTACTTTTTTCCAGTTTATATAAAAACCTAGTTTCCTAAGGAGATGTATTAATGTTGACAGAGCTTGTGCGCAGTCTCGTTTAGACTTCTCACATATGAAGAAATCATCTAGATAAGCTACAATAATGAAACCCCTACGGGCCATCATTCTGCGAACTGCTTGGGAAAGTCTATGAAAAATACCAGGGGATTCTTTGGATCCAAATGGGAGTTTAGTGTCATAAAAATAAGAAAATTTGCCTGCAAAGGGCCATTTAAAACCTGTAACTTTTTGACTTTCTGCACTAATTGGAACTGATCGGTAAGCCGATTTTAAATCTACTTTGGCCATGTAACAGCCCTTTTTGACTAATTTAGTTGCATCATCTAACGACTGGTATTTGAATTTATGATCGTTTGACACATAATCATTGACTGCAGCACCTTTGGGGCGGCTACAGTCATGTATTATGCGAACGCCCCCATCTGATTTGGGAATAATGCCCATTGGACTTACTAATAGGGGGGATTTGGTGCATGAACATAGTTGCCTTCGCTAATTTCATCTAATATTTGGACCGTGGCTTTTGCAAATAAATCTGATTGAGGGGAGGCTGAAGGGTGATTATCCATTTCAACTGACTGGGGGGACAGAGAGGGATCTATGATATGAAAGCCATTTTTGATACCTTGAAGAATGAAAGATTTATCTGGGTCATGTTTGAGTTCGTCTTCCCAAGCAGACAGAATGAGACCTGAAGGTTTTAACCGTTTTTTGAAGCAGTATGATCAGTGGAAGAGTGTTTCTCTGCACAGCCCGGAATTGCGCACACATGCGAAAATCTACATTGCTTAGAGTAACAGCCTTTCCTCGTGTTGTACCGCTTGCAAATTTCTGAACCCTGGGGTGTATGGGAAGCCCTAGGGGGAAATTGACCGCTTGGTGTAGGTCGTACAGACTTTGTGGGATTTTGCTGGGCGGATGGAACCCTGGGTTTTAAATAAACCGTTTGGATATGGGGGATGTCTGTGCCCCACCTAAATTTGTGCAGGTTCTGAAGTTTTCTGTATTCTCTATCATAGAAAAACACAGACTTAATTTCGTACGACGCCAGAAGTTGGTACACTCTGGTGGTATATGATAAGTAATCTAGCATATGATTAGGGGATAAGGCATTTTCCTGCATTAATTTTTGCAGGATTGCTAAGTTGGCTACTGACCATTGGGACAGAGAAATGTTTTCCAGCTTGGGTTTTGAGGGTCCTGACTTAAAAACCAACTGCCCATCTTCATTATTGGACAAAACTCTTTCAGACTGTGAGGCAGCTGCCAGATTAACAAAATCTACAATATCATGATATTGGCTTGATGTAGGGGCAGAAAGAGATTTAAGATAAATTTGAGGGTCCTGCCATGAGAACATACCTGGTTGGTCCAGTGTTGGGGCAGTGTTGACTGTGGGCTGGCTGGATCCTTGGGCTGATTGAAGTTGGCCTAACATCTCGGAAATGAATTTATCACTCGATTGTCCTTGCACTTGCTCTGTTAGTAACGGTGTCCCAGGCGAGGGATCAGCGTGGACTTCCACTGGGGCCTCCGATGTTGTTGCACTTGACTCTTGTCTACTGGTTTCATTCGCTGCTAGGCCTCGGGGAAACGTTTGCCTTATAGAATGTAAGAGCAGGCGTTTTTGTCCCACAGGAATGGTTGAGGGAAGATCGTTTTCAACTAGTAATGAGAGCGCCTCCATGCTGTCATACCCCAGCTCAATAAGTATACTGGCTGTGCGGGGTGAAAGTTTCTTCCGGTCGGCCCACTTAGTCACAGCGGCTTCACCGACTGTCATTTCAATTTCATTGTCGGATAACATGATTAGATATAACAAAAAAACAAATGTAAATTCACATTCGCAGAAAATGCAGGCTAGTATTCACTCAATCACTGGGAACGCTGGTCACGCACACGGCAAGCAGGCACGGGAGCGAAATCCTGGGGGTAGCAAAAGATACAACCATTACAGAATGCGGAACAGTCCATTGTTACAAGAAACAGCGCATCAGCAAGAACGTGATTGGCCTCCTGAATAATTTCGTAAAGTCTCTCCACTTCCTCGTCGCACATAACATACCAGGCTGGGATGCCAAAGAACGAGCGAACGAAAAGTCTCTGCGCCATGTTGAAAGAATTAGCTCAAAACAGGAAGCACGTGAATTTCGTCAGATATAAAATTAAAGCAAAGCGGAAATTGGAAAAAAAAAAATTCCGTGACCTTTCCCCTTTGCCAGTTCTCAGAAAAGTGACGCTTTCCTGGAAAGTTGCAGATAGTTATTATGAAATTACGTCTTTTGATTGGTTAATTAATTTGTTTTTATTTAAAAATATCTCAATCAGGGCTCTGATTGGTTGAGAGGTCCCTGTCGCCAGGGGGCGCCTGGTACTTGACCAGTGGCAATATTGCCTAGAGGGTCTGGCAATATTGCCTAGAGGGGTTTCCCTCTATTGTTTTGATTTACGTAAGTAGAAGAATGCCCCCTAGGGGGTACCCCTCAATTGCTACTAATTGACCATTAATTAAAACCAAAATGGCGTCAAAATAAACAATAAAAATAACACAAATAGCGACGTACAAACAAATGAAATTATGAAAACATATAATATACATTGACATTAACACTACAGAAACATATAACACGAAAAGAGACGGTTACATGATGGTAAAGTGCCTTAGATAAACGAAGCATGAAAAGTATGTGTTACATAACATGAGAAGGCACGTTACATAAATTAATAACAATTAAACACTGTTTAATATTATAAAACCTGAGGTAGAAGAACATGGTCTAAATAAGAATGTGTCATATTTGCAGTCCCATGTTTTATTTGAAGCTTCTAATTATTAGCATATACATGTGTACCAAGGTCATATTATTTTTTTAACACAACTGCTTGATAACTAACCTCAAATTGTGCCCATTCCCAGGATGTATTGTTATGATTGGTTCTCTGATAATGGCCAAACTGGACTTCATATGTGGCATTCATGGAGTGAACAGATGTTGGAAACTCCACCTTCAGGAATTTTCTGTTTTCATGCCATTTCACCTACAATTATAGAGGTAAATGGAAATTATTGTAAATGTATGTATAATCTAAATCGGGTCTTTAAGGTCACCTTAGTTTCAGAAGTTTTTAAGACTACAACCAAGTAGTACAATTCTCTGTTATCCTTGGACTTTCAGTAAGGCGTGGTATTCTTGATGTCATATAATTAGTGTCTGAAATTTACACAGCCTTTTATTCACTGTTGAAATATACATGGGATAGAAATGTAGGTGAATGTCAACAAGTGTAGCAATGATCCAATGACAGCATTTCATATGGCAAGAAGGTGGGGCTTAACACCCATTCTCAATATAAGGGCGCAAATAATGTCGCCTCGTTTTCATTTAGAAGAAATACCACTGATGTAATTTTTAAATCAACATTATAAATAGTCATATAACAATGAATAAGAATTCATATAATTATCGATCTGAAAGGGTATTTAAGGAGTTTAAAATTCAAATATAGTAGCCTATTTGAAATGTACGTTACTGTCGCCGAGGCAAATATTATGCTGAATCCCCTCTCTGTAATATATAGTTTTGATTCTCAAGTAAAAATTTTCTGGTAAGTTAAACCTTGTATCACATATACTTCTTTTCATAACAATAAATACATTTTCTTTGTGATAATAAATAATTTTTATTGTGCAATGTCCCTGTCGCTTAATTCTATTTTAGCCACATTAAAAGCAAACACAAAGATTATACACCTTATAGTTTTGTTCTCCTTTATTTATTGATGGGCTTAATTTGAAATTTCAAAGGGTTAATTACTCCTACATAGATAATATAACATGAAATTGAACAATTTGAGCAATTTTTATAAATATGTTTACGGAATGAAAGACATTTTCAATCGTAGAGATAAGAAAGAAATGTACGTTACCTATATTCTTCCATTAAGAGTATATTTTAAGTAGAAAATATGAGACGACTCTTCCTGAATAAGCAACCCCTTGTATCCTGTAAACTGGCAAAGACGTTTTGCTTAACACAATAAAAAAATATTTTTTACATGAAAAGTGATCATTTGAAATGTACGTGACTGAAATGTACGTTACCATGAAATTCGAATTAAGTGAATCTCGCACGAATTTTCATGTATTCTCATACTTTCACACACTCGAATGTGTACACAAAGTAAATTTCCAAAGGTTGGAGGTCGGCTAAATCCCAAAATTAATGAAAAGAAACGTTTCTGCTGAGGAAAAAAAATATATAAAGGTCAATTATATGTAATATAATTTTGATACCTGGTATATATTTCTGAATACGAAACCTGTATGATGCATTTCTTATGATATGCAAGTTCAAATAGTATCAATATATTGCGAGTCTAACGTACGCTTGTGGAAGAGAATTGATTTTCATATTTGAAATGTACGTTACGAATGGTAACGTACATTTTGCGCATTTCTAACTGACATTTTTTTTTTTATTTAGTCAATTAATTGCGTTTACACGAGCGAAACAAAATTATCTTTACAATCCATTTGACATATGATCACATAAATCCATCTAAATGCACCCCAATCCTCGTAAATGTGGTGGACTGTTACCACTTGCTAGAAAATTTATTTCTATGTGTCTTAAATTCATCTTTAGCAACCTTTTTGCAGTTTGTTTACTTTAAATATGCGACTTTTCGTCAATATCAATTTAATTGTTGTTGGTAATTTAAAACAAGGTATTCATAGGCTTATAATTGGTAAAAAAAAAAAAAAAAAACGAAACAAAAAGAAAAAGGAAAAAGAAACAAAACAAATGAGAATCCAGAACACAAGACGGTCACGTACATTTCAAATACTGAAAGGCACACAATACTCAGTTTTGTTTGAATCATTGCATTTTAGGTTATATTTTTCCAGATCTGCTGAAAATTACGTATGTTTGTGTTTTGACAAACGATGTTGCAACATACTATTAAAATGAAATTGTTAACAAGACTGTCGATGGATATATTCGGAATAGATATATGTTAAGTTTCAATGGCCAAACACAAGCATTTGTTAGATCATAGCAAAATACGTCTGACTCTTTTTTTTGTCTGTACCCTTGCACACAGGTAGAAGTAACTAGGCTACGACCGGTGTCAATTTCAGCGAAACAGCACAAAAGAATGGTAATGAACTGAGATGGAGGGGACTCCCCAATAATATGTGAAATGAACGTTACCGAAGTGACGTGACATTCATGTAGTTGATGACAAATAACCTAGTTTGTTACCATATTATTTCTTATATTACTGCGTTAAAACGCTTCATTGAAATGATTTTTATGTCAATAATTGTTTTTTTTTCCCAATATTTTCTTATTACTAATTTACGTACATTACAAGCTTGAAATGTACGTTACCTACTCATATTCTGAGGCAACCGTGTCTTTATAGTGATGATTGTGACATATAACACAATGTGATTTCATAGAGAATCTTTTTTGGAATAAACTGAAACAAAACTATGAATTTTTAGATGAATTTTAAGCTTTTTATTTAACAGAAATATATCTTGAAATGTACGTTACATTTACGTAGTTGTCTAAATCAGCATGGATATATGTTAAAATAGACAGTAACTACAAAATATAATTTTACTACATGTACATGTTAAGTTCCACTATCTATAGAAAATGACAGGATTCTATGATACTCTAAACAAAACAGAGAGAAGAATTTAAAGCATATATTTAAAAAAATGTTTTTATACATCTGGGTCAAAAAGTAACCTTTGTTTTTTGAAAGGAAAAATCAAGCGCACGTTCGTATGCCGAGAAAATATGTTGCTGACAGAGTTGGTAGGATGTGCTGGTGTTGAGATGAGATATTCCAATTGTGATTTTAATGACTACATTTTTTTTTACATATCTTTTTGGCCATTGAAGAAAGAGTAACGTACATTTCAAGCTACATTTCTGAATAAAATCACCCTCTACTTTACCGTCTTGTCATTATTCCATGTAATAAAATTTGATGAAAAAAAACCTGGAAACAAAATCTTCAGATACTTTCTTTCAAAGGTAATTGATAGAAAAATTGTTATCTTGAACTTCATTTTTTAAAAAATCAGAGAGGCATTTGTGCCCTTATATTGAGAATGGGTGTAAGTCATCTCATCGTTGTCAACAATAATTTAAAGTTTCTATTGTTTTTAACTTCTTCTCCAATGAGAATCTATTCGCCATTAGAAAGACATTAATTACATAGCGTCCAGAATGCCATGCCTTACTGAAAGTCCAAAGATGACAGAGAATTGTACTAAGTCCCATCTGAAACTGGAACTCCGATCTCAATACGGACTCCTTACCTGTGTATGACACCTAAAACAGACTGCTTACCTTAGTGTGACACCTGAGAAATGGACTGCCTGCGTCTAGACTGATCACCTGCTCTATAGAGCTCTGGTCACTGATTTTCAGCTGGACGATCACAGACACCTTCAGAGGACCACCGTCAAGAACCTCAGCAGACTTGATAGAGGTCACAATGGGTTTCCTGAAAATAAAGTATTTCTTCTGATGAATAATTACATCAAAAGAGTAATTCATTTACATGTGTAACACAAAAGGAGGAAATTAATCGCTGGACAGGTAATTGAATCCAGGACCTTTGCATCACTAGTCAGGTGAACTACCCATTGAGCTACCCAATTCCATGCTTACCTGATTTGATGATTACCTGGTTTGATGCTTACCTGATTTGATGATGATTACCTGGTTTGATGATTACCTGGTTTGACAATAACTTGGTTTCATGTTTACCTGGCCAGATGTTTACGTGGTCTGATGATTAACTGGTTTGACAATTACCTGGTTTGATGATTACTGGGTACCTGGTTTGACGATTACCTGGTTTCTAGATGATAATCCATCACATCCCATGCATCCCAAAACAGGGGAATGTCATCATAGAGTACAAACTGGTTACCATAGCCAAATGTCTCACTACTCATTGCATTTCTGAAAGAAGATGTTATTCATATATTGAAAGGAAAGAGAAATTTAATTGTGCTTTGATCTAATCTTAAAATTACTAAGTCAAGTGATCTAAATCAACAGGTGTTTAAGACAATTATTTATCTATGCAGATAATATGAAGTCTAGGTTGAACTACATAGTACAATGAACTATTTGGATCACATACAAATTATTCATAGAAAAATATTTACTACCACAGGGACGAGCCACAGGCTTTGATTTATTTGTCTGTTTGTTTGTCTGTAAGTCCATCTGCCAGTTTTCCTGTTACAAAGTCAAATGTCTTGTCTTTAATTCTGAAATCCATAGGGAATAAATGGATTCATACCATTTTTATTGTCAATGAAATAAAATATCATAATCTTGAACTTCTGCCATATAACAGTTAGAGGTCAAAGGACAAAGAAAAGCTAAATTTTATTGTATTTTTAAAATTCTATTCAATTCTATTTTTGTTAAATAAATTAAGAGGTTGGTTTATTAAGTTTCTATTTCATTGATTGGACAGTAATTGTATGTAAATCATAATTCAAGAGAATAAGAAATGAAAGAAAAAGTGAGCTAGCTCACATACCCCACGCTCCCCCAAAACTTGACGGTGAAACACATAATGAAAGGCACAGTGCACTTTAAATACATAGTATAGATCAAAAAGGGCAATAACTGCAAAAAAATCTTCACATCAAAATGTCTTACATATGAGGACATTTAAATGTGGAATGAAGTTTCTAGATAAATAATGGAATCAAAATTTCTTGGCATTATACAAATCCTAACATTAATTTGAAGTGGTTGGGGGGGGGGGGGGGAGAAATTTTCTTGAATAATAGGCAAAACTCTTTGGGATAAGAGAAACTATGAACAACAGTTTAAGAGGAGTGGTGCTCACAAACTGTTCATCTCTACATTCTAAATATCGCCAAAAAGTCTAAGTTGGAAAGTGTGGAAATTCCCGGAAAAATAAAGGAATCGGAATTTCCTGGTAATATGCACATCTACATATTGTGTCCTAAATATCTACAAAGTTTGACGAAATTCTGTGCAGCAGTTTATTAGGAGTTGCGCTGACAAACTGTTCATCTCTATATTCAAGGTATTGCCAAATGCCTAAGTTAAAAAGTGCGGAAATTCCCGGAAAAATAAAGGAATCGGAATTTCCTGGTAATATGCACATCTATACATTGTGTCCTTAATACCTGCAAAGTTTGACGTAATTCTGTGCAGCGGTTTATGAGGAGTTGTGCTGAAAAACTGTTCATCATTATATTCAAGGTATGGCCAAATGCCTATGTTAAAAAGTGCGGAAATTCCCGGAAAAATAACGGAATCGGAATTTCCTGGTAATATGCACATCTACACAATGTGTCCTATGTACTTGCAAAGTTTGACGAAATTCTGTGCAGCGGTTTATGAGGAGTTGCGCTGACAAAAAAGAGGACTGACTGACGGACTGACTGACTGACTGACTGACTGACTGACGGACAGGTCAAAAACATTATACCTCCCGCAACTAGTTGCGTGGGGTATAATAAGAAGTAAACCTATAGTTAGTTTTATTACAATGATAACAGCTGCTTTATTACCTAAATGTTCCTGAATTCAATCTTAAGGTCTTAATCCTCCCTAGATGATCAATCTCAGCCCAGATAGACTCATTCTGAAGGACATATGAACTACTCGTCATTGTAGCAGTGCAGTAGACATCATTTCTCTTGATTGGTTTTAACAGGGCATACCCATAGCTTGGGACTGTCACCATGGCTACATGTACAAACAACATTGGAAAACAATTCAAAGTGAGTAAAATAAAGCAGTCTATACTCTACAACAAAATTTAAGAAGAAATTGTCAGAACTGCAAGCATGTTTTCATTTGCAACAATGAGCCCTTTAGGACTTTCCCCTTTTGAGTATTAGAACTGGGAAACAGTACCAAGAGTGTTCCCATTCTTATCATGCTGCACAAACTCCTTTGATTTCTTCTGTTTCTTGGCTGGACTTCCCATTGGTGTAGTTGATATAGTAATGACTTCCTTCCTTTCCCAGCCCATGCAGTTTATCACCATGTTTAATGGGTCAGGTCCAGCAGATCCCTCAAAGATTCCAGGTAGTGCATTGGCATACAATTTTTGGCAATTGGAAACTATTTCTGCAATAAATTGAAATTATATGAATACATTATGTTAATTCATGTCAATTGTAAAATATCAGTCTATATTTTTTTAACTGTAACAATTTCTAAACTAAAGAAATATTCTTTTGAATTCAATGTAATAAATTGTCAATTTGTTAAAATAAATGCAAATCATTATATATCGTTCTTTTTAAATTCCTTATCAAAAAATAAATTCATACTATCTAAAGATGTTTCTTTAAAGATTAAAGATTTTAAAGATTTTTTTCTATATATTCTTCAAAGTATGTAAAAATTTTATCACCCATAGTGGTGTCCTCAACTTCTTAAATCATACTTTGAACAAACTTGAATATACACTACCTCTGGGTAAATAGCAAAAATTCAATTTATCTTACTCTTACCATCATAGTACTGATGAGCATCATCATAAACCTGAAAATAATGAATAAAAACAACTTAACATTTATCTGTGACCAGCTATCAATAATTCACTTATCTTCCACAAAACAATGTTCCCACCATTCACAGCAGCTCAGTCGGTAGAGCGCTCACTCCGTGATCGGAAGGTTGTGAGTTCGTATCTCGGCCGTGACTGACCTAGTCAATAAAATTGGTAGCAACTGTTCCTTCGCCATGCGCTAGGCACTTTGAAGTGAAAGTTGCGGGTCCTTCGGATGAGACCTTAAAACCGAGGTACAGTGTCATGGCAGACATTGGCACAATAAAGATCCCTCACCGCTCAATGGACCTAAGTGCTGAATAAAGGTCAAAATTTGAAGCCCGTCACCGGCATACGTTGACATCTCCATATGAGTGAAAAATTCTCGAGAGGGACGTTAAACAATATACAATCAATCAAAACAATGTTCCACTTAATAATATAACTGTTATATCAATATACCGTATATACTCGCCTATAAGTCGGTCCGCCTATAAGTCGGTTGTATTTAATAAGCTTATATTTCAGATGGACTGACCTCATATAATACCATTCTTTTTATAGCTCGCTTATAAGTCCATTCACAGAGTTCTGGCAGAACATCATGTTACTCCCAAAAAACCGATTTATAGGCGAATATAGAACATCATGTCATCTGATACACTTACCATTCCAATAGAGGAGCCTGGTAGAACATCATGTCATCTGATACACTTACCATTCCAATAGAAGAACCTGGTAGAACATCATGTCATCTGATACACTTACCATTCCAATAGAGGAGCCTGGTAGAACATCATGTCATCTGATACACTTACCATTCCAATAGAGGAGCCTGGTAGAACATTGTGTTATCTGATACACTTACCATTCCAATAGAGGAGCCTGACATAACATGATGTTATTTGATACACTTACCATTCCAATAGAGGAGCCTGGTAGAACATGATGTTATTTGATCCACTTACCATTCCAATAGAGGAGCCTGGTAGAATCATGTTATCAGCTGATACACTTACCATTCCAATAGAGGAGCCTGGTAGAACATCATGTTATCAGCTGATACACTTACCATTCCAATAGAGGAGCCTGGTAGAACATTGTGTTATCTGATACACTTACCATTCCAATAGAGGAGCCTGGTAGAACATCATGTTATCTGATACACTCAACATTCCAATAGAGGAGCCTGGTAAAACATGATGTTATTTGATACACTTACCATTCCAATAGAGGAGCCTGACAGAACATGATGTTATTTGATACACTTACCATTCCAATAGAGGAGCCTGACAGAACATGATGTTATTTGATACACTTACCATTCCAATAGAGGAGCCTGGCAGAACATGATGTTATCTGATACACTTACCACCCCAATAGAGGAGCCTGACAGAACATGATGTTATTTGATACACTTACCATTCCAATAGAGGAGCCTGGCATAACATCATGTTATTTGATACACTTACCATTCCAATAGAGGAGCCTGGTAGAACATCATGAAATTGATTGAGAAGGAGAAGCTTCCACAGTCTTAGCAGTTCATCTGTTGGGGGTTTGTATGAACCTTTATGATGCATGGACAGAATGTTAGCAACAGAGGATAGGAATTCCACATCATGGAGACGAAACTCACAAAAGCGATTCATCTTCTTTACCTACAAATGCAGTAACTGAGATAAAAAGGTAATAAAAAGGTGGCTCTGCATTGGAAAAATATGAGAGGATTATAATTCATACTATTTTGAGACCTGCACTTCTTGATTTCTATGAGAAACAAATTACAGAAAAATTAATAAGATGAAAGTTTTTCTGTTTTTGGTGTTTAATTCAAAAGGGGATGAATCAAATGTCCCTCATGCAGTTTTTCATTTGCAGTGAAATATGTGTTTTAAAAATGTCTTTTCTCATAAATTCACAATACATAATAATTCTAATGAGTTATATATGAGAATTAACTGACTTTGGCATGTGTTGTGTAGGTTCCATTGTGCAACTCTAGATAAAGTTCTCCTCTCCAACGACACAAATTCCCAAGATCCTCTCTTTCTACATCAGAGAAGAATTCCTCAGGTGTTTTTTGTTGTACTTTAGGAAGGCCATCTGTATCTCTTATCCTCTGCATTCTGAGCAGCATATCCTCTCTAAAAAATCATTTTACATACAGAAATCATTACTAAAGTTAAGCACTGGGTATAACCATCTTCTTTTTTTCATTCATAATTTGTGAAATCTTATGAGTGTTTCCTTATAATTAGAGTAAACTTCTTGGATATATTAGTTTAAAGCCTTTTTTTGTGGGACAGTTATCAACATGATTTACAAACTGAGAGTAGAATATCTAATTTGAAAAACAATTCCATTTGTTTCAATATTGCCTTTATTTATGCATAATTCCGAAGTCAATTTCTTTTTAAAAAAATGTTAATGAAAACATTTTTAGTCATGATATTACATAAGCCTTGATAACAAAATCTGAAAACTTACGATGGCCCATTTCCTCCATCTCCATAGCCAAACAAGTAGACACTTTTGCTGGAGCGACCTTTATCTTTGAAATTCTTAACTGTTCTCAGGACCTGTCATATAAAATTGTAGAACTATCATCAGTTATCAAAATTGTCTTACTAATGAAATAATGGAGCCTTGTTTTTTTCTTTCATTGTTAATGTCAATGTACGTGACAGTCATATTCCATAGATTTTGTCAAGAAAATGTGTTCTTAATTATAAATAATTCAAAAATATAACCACAGGGCCTTGTTTTAAAGAGTTTGGTAACTAAGATTCTTTGCTCTCAGGAACAACATAAAACCTAATGAAAGGCAAACACTATTAAAATAGAATTTTCATCTTACATCTTCTAGACTGCATCCCCTTACCATTACAATGTACTTAAGTGAGTGGTTAAGATAATATTAACAGCTAGTAATCAGTTCACCTCCTCTACTTTGCCTTTCATTTCATAGGAATCCCCTGGAGGAAAATGTGTCAGAACTTTGGATCCATCGATCCCCTCCCACCAAAATGTATGGTGCTGAAAATTCATAAGATGTATAAAGAATTTTACTTCTTTTTATTCCTTAAATTGTACTGTGAATAAATAAAATTACATTAATTTAAACAGGCATTTTTTTCTCACTTTTTCTATTCTTTGTAGCAGTCATTTCATATGTCTTGAACTGAGCTGCTCTTCTCTTGATAAATCACTAAGTCACTCTAGTATTCCTTATGTACCTTTTTAAAAAAGATATTGTTTTTGTCCTGTCTGTTTGTCTGTTTATCTGTTTGTCTTTCTGTCTGTTGTCAACTTTAACCTTGGCCATAACTTTTGAAGTGGTTAAGATAATATCCATGAGAGGTAGAGACTTCATATTTAGTATGCATACTCAAACAATGAAGCTCTTTCAAATGGCACCAAGTTCAATGACCTTGACTGTGACCTTTATGCTAAAAATAGCTTTATTGAACTTTAGCCATAACTTTTGAACCATGAGAAATAGAGACTTCATATTTTGTATGCATACTTGAACAATGAAGCTCTATCAAATGGCACCAAGATCAATGACCTTGTGACCTTGAATGTGACCTATATGCTAAAAATGGCTTTTTTTGCCATAACTTTTGAACCATGAAAGATAAAGACTTCATATTTAATATGCATACTCCACTGATAAAGCTCTTTGAAATGACACCAAGGTCATGACCTTGTGACCTTGACTGTGATATATGCTAAAAATAGCATTTTAGACTTTTCGCCATAACTTTTGAACCATGAGAGATAGAGACTTCACATATGGTATGCATACTCCAGTAATTAAGTTCTTTGAAATGACACCAAGGTCGATGACCTTGTGATCTTGACTGTGACTTATCTGCAAAAAATAGTTTTTTTTTTATTTTTTTACCGCCGGGCGCATAGTGTTTCACAAACACATCTTGTTTTATATATGCACATACATCCTCTACACTGTACACATTGACTTACAGGGAATTTATTGACCAGGCTCCAGCTGATTTTCTGGGTCAGGAACCGGGAAATTCCAAACATCTTCATGACCTGAGGAAGCTGGGGAGAGTAGCCAAAAGTGTCGGGTAACCAAAACTGGAGAGAAAAAATGTTCTATATATGCACTTGAAGTTGTTGTAAATATATGCATTCAAGGGAAATTGAAATAAATCAAGCCAGTAAAATTCACTTGATTGGGAATACATTGTAAGTCTGATGATAGCATTACCTCTGTACATTTTTTGTTGAATTCCTGCATGAAGTATCTCTGTCCATACAGAAACTGGCGGACAAACGCTTCACCACTAGGCAAGTTCCCATCCTGCAAAGGAATGTTATTGTATGATGACTTTACTTGGCTTAAAATTTCACAAAAAGAAATTATATATAGTACATGTACATTCAATCTGCTTTTAAAACTAAGATTATAATCATGTCATCTGGCATTTCATTAAAATTACATGTATAAGTGTACACAGCGCTCATGCCTCATTTCGTACTAAATATATTTACATGTGTATTTTGCTTATAAAGTGAATGGAAATCTATGGCATTCAAAACACCATAACACGAAAAGAGGGTTAAAAGGTTAAAGGATGCCTTTTTGACATCACAGAAGTTGAATGTCAAGGAAGTGCCATGTCATAATCAAAAATCATAAAGCAGTTTCAAAACTGCAACAGTGTGTGCAAACAAATTTTCATAACATGCTAAAAGATATTACTCAATGTGTCTGTACTCACTGTTGCAGTTATGAGACTACATCTTTCAAATAATAATAATAATTCATTCATAAAGTTATTATTTTTACTCATTTGTGCATTAATAACTAAACTCACCATTTCTACCCAGGTACCCCCAACAGGTATAAACCTGCCTTTCTTCACAAACTCCTTTTGATCTATGTTAGAGTGTCATACCTATGAGATGAAGTTGATCTTTCACCCATTCATACTGCTGAGCCTGTCAAATGAAATCAGGAACTAAAACCAATGCAAAACATATGAATTATTCCATGACAAGTATTTTTTATATTAGGTTTGCCATAACTGTGACAAGGATGGTGTTCCTAATACCTGCCACTACATTTTACACCACCACAGGATTTTCAGTATAATTTTAATTCAAACACAAAAAACTTCAGATATCATTTCTTAAAAAGATGTAAACTTGTAATGAGCAGGTGAAGTTGAAGCCTATATTAGTTTTGCCTTACCTGTGAGCAGGTGAAGTTGAAGCCTATATTAGTTTTGCCTTACCTGTGAGCAGGTGAAGTTGAAGCCTATATTAGTTTTGCCTTACCTGTGAGCAGGTGAAGTTGAAGTCTGGGTACTGCTCCATTAGTCTGATGGTACAGGACCAACTCCTGGCACACTTCCTGATAGTTTCAGCATATGGCCACAACCAGGCTAGAAATTGTTTGAAAGAACATCATACTGATGCTTAATATAATAAACTTTTAATTAAGAATAAACCCCTTTTTCTATATAGCTCTGTTTCCAAATGCATGTCAGATTAAACAGGATCTACTACTGTATACAGGGAAAATTTCGCCTCCGTTTTATTTTCACCCCTTTTGCCATACCCTCCTTTTGACAAACCATTTCACTGTAAAATTCCGACCATAATGACAATTTACTTTTTTGTGTTTTTAACACTTTGCAATCTGACTCAACTTTTCAAACACAAAATCTGTGTCCAAATGCATGTCAGATTTTAAAATTAGACAGTAATACACATGAAGTAAATTATCTTACCTGAGTCCATGTGGGCATGTCCCATAGCATACATCACATGCTGACTCTCTCCATTTCTTTGTTGAAAAAACTTCTCTGCAATCTGATGAGCTCTTATAAAAAGTTTTATTTCAGAAGTTATAATTTTTACTGATGGAGGATAACCAACATGAGAGCTGATATAGTGATAATTAGAATATAAAGCAGAAAAAGGTAGATTATCAACCTTTACACATGCACCCAAACATACGCCCTTAGGTTGTATTATCAGTTTAACTTCAAAGTTAAACTACCATGACACTACTGAATCAAATGTGATTCATATACATATACATAAATGTGTCAATTCAAATAGTCTAAAATTTATATTTATTTCTTTTCATTTAAAAGTTTAAAATGGATCACATGAAAAAGTTCATTGCTTATAGACAGGCCATTTCATGCATAAAATGAACATCCATGATTGAATCTTAAGATATTAATTTTTTTTTAAAATTCTTTCCTCAAACTTTAATTTCATTGTTGAATTTCACATGCACCCTAACCCACCTCCCCCTTGATACATGTATGCAAAGAAAATAAGGGGAAACTGCCAAAAATTGGAATTTTTCTAATTTCAAGGGGAATAACTTTGTCAAAAACTGCTCAATCACACCCAAAACAAAACTTGACCTAGATATTCTTATGATAAAAGTAAATGCAACCTCTGCAAAGAAAATGAACAGAAACTGCAAATAATTGGAACTTTTCTAAGTCCAAGGGGCATAATCTTGTCAAAAATTGCTCGACCGAGCCCAAAACAGAACTTAACCCAAGTATTCTTGTGATAAATCTGTATACCAAATTTCATTTTAGTACATGCAACCTCTGCAAAGAAAATTACATGTAACAGAGACTTGGAAATCCAACAGACAGAATGCCAGTAGCATTTGTTAATAAACTTACTTGTTTTATAAAACTTACTTGGTGTATGTGGATCTGTCATTCAGATCAAGGGAGTTAATCAGATGGTTCACTGTGTATAATGCTTGGTATCCTCTTTCTGTTTCTTCTGTCATGTGCTGTAAGTCCAAAAGAAAAACTGTAATCTACTATAAATACAATTATTAATTTTTTTTTTTTTAATTTGATTTTCTTTTCAAAAATTTAAAAGCTATCTAAGAGATTGTGGATACTGCTTGAAAAAATTGAGCACTATAAAAATCATCATTTACTTTTCAAAAATTCAGGAATCAAAATGCTGTTAAGGCAAACAAAACAAATTCATAAAAAAAAAATAAAAATGGTTTAATATATCCTAGATAACAGTATTTTGCACAAAGGAGTTTCTTCACTTTAAATTTTTTTTACCACTATCATTTAATTATGTCTTCTCTTTTGCTTTTTCTGTCCATGTATTTATCTTCTGTGTACTGCAGTACATGTATTTATGCTGAAGATAACCATTTAAATCCAATTTATTTTCTGTTTATGATATACTACCTTTGCCATGTCATGAAGTGTTTCCACATCCAAAATTAGGTCATACACCTCCCGATCAAACACGGCTATCTCCGCCTGACTCAGGGTGAAGGATCTGTCCATGTCGGGGGGACCAATCATAGTGTCCCCGCCCACACCCAGGATACCATTACAGGCCATTTCTATGTACAGGGAGCACCTGTTGGGGGTCAAAGAAGAAGGGAGGTAAATGCTAGCTATTAAAATTCACATATACTGTATGTGTACTTGAAAAATCAAGCTTTTTATTTTAGTGGCTTTGGTGTGGAAAAGGATGTGTTAATTCATGAATACAGCAAAAAAAAAAATCATTTATACATACAATATATTTTGCAAGTGTGTAGTGCTAATATTAGGTGGGCTTTCCTTTAATTATCTGGAAATATACTTTAAAATGTAATAAATTTGAAAAAAGTAATGGTAAACATTTGTCTTTATATATCAGTGATTTAGTGAAATACATTTCATACACAATAATCATATTTACCACACCTTTTCTTGTCCTTCCCCATGGCTTTAGACAGAGGGAATGAGGTCCTATCATAGTCTCCACTCAAACCCTTTGTAAAAAATAACACAGCTATTATAAGTAAACAATAATATATTTTCTTTGGTTGTTACCATGGGAATAAATGTTGCAGCTGTTGCATACAAAACCTCAAATGAATTTTCTAAAATTGAAAGAACCATTTCTCAAGGAATTTGTAAAAGTAGCTAGCTTAATTTGCTGTATTAAAAGTACCTTGGTATTGTTAAATGATCTTGGTTTTCATAAGAAATAAATGAGATAATATTCAGTGCATGTAGATATGAAAAAATAACTGACATTCAAACTTAGAAAAAGGACATACATTATATCAGCTTACACCTAATCAGGAAAGTGTAACCTGATCTAACAAATGGATAATACAAGGAAGGAAAAATGACTGAATCAATGAAAAGATGAAATGAAAGTAATGCTTGGTCTAACTTGTACATCACATAGAGGAAGGAAAACAATTGCATCAACTTTTATAAATTGCTTTGAAAATTTAACTTTGAAATATACATGTATTTACAGAACCAATCAAGCTATATGTACCTTGATGCAAAATAAATAAACTAAACCTACAACTCAAAATTGGCCATGAGCCTTGCTACAATGAAATTTTCTGTTTCTGAATATCTTTTTTAATGTATTTAGTGTCTTGTGGGTCAGGCTGTATAAATGTTGAATTACCACCTTGTCAGGTAATCTAATAATTATTTGGTTTATGAATTTGATTTTGGAACAGCATTTTATAAGAAACAAGGAGAGAAAATGCATATAGGTTGAAGCTGATTTTAAACTTTAATAAAGATTAGCACATCTGTATCCTCTTCAGATTTTTTTCTTTTTTGGATAATCAGATACTATAATCAGTCAAAATCATTATTACCTGTATTGGGTTTCCATTCTGCCACACCATGGCCTCTGAGTCTGAGTACAAGTCATTCTTACCTGTATTGGGTTTCCATCCTGCCACACCATGGCCTCTGAGTTGGAGTTCCACAGAAGATGAATCTCCTCTTTCTTCCATCCTGTTGGAATCTCAATCTCCAGACAAAACCAGTGGGTGGACCATCTAAAATAAATCCACTGATCCTGTGTCTTTAAAGATTTTTTTTCCTTACAGAAGAAAAGATACTATTTATGGAATCAACCTCTAAATTTGGTGATATTGAGACTGTTGTGAAGCATTTCCAAAAGAAAATATTTTTATTTTGTGTCCTTGACTTTCACAACAGTTTAGAGCAACATAGAGATTTTGAGTTAAACTTCGGATATTCAATGACCACTGAGTCAGAGTACTGTCTGCTACAGAAAAATATAATGCCAAGAACCATAACTGCATCCTACATTTAAGTAAGAGTAGAAGACTTTCACCAAATTTTTATATATCTAATTTCATAAAATGTATCTGCATGATCATGTATGGAATTAATGTTTAAGTTACACACATTGGTCCAAATGACTGTCCAACCTCTGCTTTGGTGAATTTTCCTTTGATTGCTTGTGAAAAAGGAATTCTGCCTGATGCTGCAAAGTGGGTTATGGACTTAACTGGATGATGTTCTTTATATAACCTTCAAAATAATTATTTATATTTTAAGGCATTTAATTGTGTAAGACATATCTTCAGTGGGAATTGCACCTTACATGCTAAATGTCATGCTAAATGTCTGTGGTCAATTTCAAATCTCTATGTTCGACTTATAGGCGAAAGAATGGTATTATATGAGGTCAGTCCTATGATATATATAAGCTTATAAAATACAACCGACTTATAGGCGGACCAACTTATAGGCGAGTATATACGGTAATTAATGCAATTTTTTCTCATCCATGAACACAATTAACTTTTTCTTACCTTCCTCTAAGGTTGACATCTTTGAAATAGATAGGAGATATAAATTTGTCTGCTCTCTCAAGTGTTGTCCTCTTGTTTTTCAATGTTACGTGTTCCATGACTCAGGTAGGCCCCAGCTGATTTTCCCTACTTCTTTAGAATGGGTAGTTTTCCCAATACCTAGATTAATCCCTAATACAATGGTATATCATAATTGAGAAATATTTATATATGTAGCATATTGTTCATGTAACTGTTGAAATACAATTGAATTACAACCCATGATGATTTTGAACTGTAATAGTACTCTATAATTACCTTTGAAAAATAAAACTGTTAGTCATTTAAAATACTTTGTTCTTTGTCTTTAAGGGGAGACAGGACACATGTCACATGACTATAAAGACATATTACGTCATAATCGGTGATGATATACATGTTAAATAACGTTGTTAAAATCAACAGTTCTTGTGTAATTTTATTCTAATATATAGAATTGTTTTTTTTTTTTAACATTTAATTTTAAAATTATATATAAATTTTTAAAGATCTTGCCATCAAATAACTTTAATCTACACATTTATTTCTCTTTACCTTGCAGTCTGACCTCAGTGACGTCATAGACGTAGTGTTTGAATTCTCAGTGCAGTGAGACCAAGTACACACACCCGTCATGATCAGTTTTATTTCATAATAAACAGGTCACAGTCAATGTATCGTGATAAATTTCTGAAGCAGATTTTTTAAAATTAATACTTTTTCGTGTTTACTAGCAGAAATTCTCTCTATTTAGATAATTTTTAATGTTTATGCATCGTTTGACGTCACAATTGATTTCCCACGCTCGGAAAATACAAACATGAAGCGTTTTTATCATGCTTACATCTAATTCAATGATGTCCTGTGCGATATTGAGGTAAGCTTCACCCTGTGATATTTATGCAGTAAATAATTACGATGAAGGACTGACATTCAATCATAAATTTAGAAATATTTATTGACAGAATTTTTTCTAAATGAGGTTTTTGTGTTGAAGCTAAAAATAAAATTATCCCAAAATACTATATATAATTAAAACAATTGCTTTCAGATAATTTAAACACTATGATTTTTTTGAAATATTTGATACATAGTGTTCTTTATCATATTTAGCGTTTTTAAAAATTATATATACTCTGTTATATAAACATGAAGTATCTAAACACCATACAAACTCTAAACAAGGCGGTATTTGTGGGTCGATATCTTTTGAATAAGTCAAGAAATCCCATGACATGACCGTTTTAAAATGTTAAGTACATATTAAATTAGTAATATAAAAAATACGAAAAAAAATTCATTGACAGAATTTTTTTCAGCGAAAGGTCCTGTTCCTCCTCAAGTCTCTTATCAGCTGATTGAGAAAATTCGAACTTTGCTTTGCGTGTGATTTGCAATATCTAACGATTGTCATTGCAAAGTAAAATGTCAGAAATATACATATGTAAATGTAGAACCAAAATAACTATAGTAACGGATTTCTTTTTTTAATTTTATCTTAACTGCACAGAAATTAATCCTTAGCAAAATTAATATCCACTCACCACCGGTTGAAAACGAAAGTTGAAACGAATTTCCGATCCCGATTCAATTTAGAAATTTTATGGATACTTTCTAAATGTTAACAATTATAATGATTTCAGTTGTTCTGTTTGTTGTTGAAATATTAAAGACTCGGGAAACGAAGTCATTTCTGTAGGTAATGTTATTTTACTATTTCCCGTTTTGCTGTAAATAGGAAATATTTTAACAAAATCTGATATGCAACGTATTAAACTTACATTCATGGTGATTTTCTTATTTTCCTTATCAAATTGATACCAAAGATACTTGTTTTCAGGGAGGGATTTTTAGTGTTTAAAATAAAAATAAAAATCGCTGAAATTACTTCGTTTTTATATACACCGCATACGTTTCATTATAATTTTAAAATTAATAAAAGTTGCTTAATATTTATTTCAGCATTTTTTATTTATACTTAAAAAACACATAATGCACAAATACACCATCCTGAAACCAAGTGCCCATGATTAATACAAATATATTAAAGTATTTTATAAATTTATAATTACCATCATCTAGTAAATACTCGTGCAAAGTAAAAACAGGGACTAGTATAGTGTATAGGTCCCTGGTAAAAATAAATCTTCGATTTTTAAGAGTTGTTACCTCGTTTCATATGACTAAATAATTTATATTTTGCTTCGTTGTAGAAAAATTCTATTAAATTAAGTAAATGCATGCAGTCCTCACCTTTTTTATAACTTTTGTTGTATTTTAGAAAACTCCAAAATCAAACAGGAAATATGTCAAAAGCGAGTCGTGCATTTGTGTGTAAATGACACAGTTGGAGACTCACTATCAGATAATCTGCCAGGAAAGGCTTTATCTATATAAAAAAAAAATCAGCTGCAAAATTTTAAGGTCACGTGTGTTATCTAAAAGGTAAAGAAGACTGAAACATCGACAAATGAAATCATTTCAAGTTCTTAACTACAAACTTTCATGATTTTAACTGTGTTCTGATTTTTACATCAAATAAGGGGTCATATTCGGTCTTTATCATACCTTGTCCTTTATGAGAAATTCCAGACTTTTTTCATGCAATTTCACACATCAACAGATAAAAGTTTGATAATTTTTAATTTCTTGAAGGTAGTTTAATGGAGATTGACATGGTCTGTATCTTTTCAAAACAACTCAGAGAGAGTGAGAGAGAGTGAAGGTAGTTTAATGGAGATTGACATTTTTGTTTTTTCGAAACAACTCAGAGAGAGAGAGAGAGAGAGAGAGAGAGACCTCCACTTATTATAAAGTATTTTTTTGTATTTTGACCCACTCTTTAAATTTCACTTTTTTTTGTTTTATAAACATATGGCCAATGCCCCCCCCCCCCATACCCCATCTTATTTGTAAAATTTATTATTATCGAAATACCTTTGATGAGAAGATAGAAAGCATTATTAGAATATTTTTTTAAAGAAGAGGGGTGCAGAATGGGATGTTTAAAAAACTTTTGAAGAGTTCTAAATCTCCATGTCCATGTAGTAAATTGAATATTTGCTTGTGAAAATATAAAATTGATATTTACAAAAGCAATAATTTCTTCTCAAGCTTACCCAAAAATTTAAACTAAATCAAACCTTGTGATCTGAAAAAGTGAATGCGGTTAAGAAAAGTTTGAGATATCTGAAAATGAAATTTTAAGGCTAGGATACATTAAAGAAAAAGTGCATTGTAACCAACTCATTTCTGTATTTTAAAGATATTTAAGTTTGTGGGCCTGATATGCAGCAGATATAATTTTCTGGATTCACTGTGATGCATTTCTATGTCAGTTGGCAGTCTTGAGTCTTGTTCCTGTTTAGACAGTGTTCTTTATTAACCAAGTTTGAAGGTTATACCACTTAGGTCAGGGTCAATCTTGATGTCATATATATAGTCAATATATTGGTTTGTAAACAAAACAATATCTTTATTTCTTTTTATATTAATTTTATTTACAGATCAGATACCAGTGATGCAATATGAGGCAAAATATGTGAGAGCTAGCATATAGGCTGAACACAAATTGGTTGCCAAAAGAATATCCATTAATAAAAATTTGAATAAAATGTTATCAAAATTCCAAAAAGAATACAAATACACTATACATGTAATTACATGTATTCAAAGCAGTGTGTGCATGTCTATAATAAATATTTACAAATAATTTAACAATAATGTTACAAAGAAAATTGACATTGATATTGAAAACATTTATTAGATGATGTATTTGATTTTTCCTTATGATGTAAGTAAATGTAAGTACGTGTATAATATTGGGTCCCAAAATCAGTTATTCAGATCTTCAAAATCAATTGTCATAAAAAAAGATTGTGATAATTGTCATATTTGACTAGCTCAATAAATTATGTATGAATCCAGTGTACAAAAAAATGACTGAATGGTTTACATGTCATTGGTATTTTGATTGTCATGTTGAGCATCTTTGTGCTGTTGTACACATGTATAACATATTTAAAAATGCTTTCATAAGAATGGAAAATATTGAACACATATTGTACACATCACATCATAAAATAAGTTTCTGACAGTGTGTGTGCATATAATTCTAGCTTTGGTCTTTACATGAATTTAAAATTGAACATTTGATCTAATAGAGAACAATTGATCAATGCATTATTAGTAATAATACATGTATTGATACATACAAAGTACAGTTTTTTTAAAAAGGTAATGTGAAAATACTACATGTACATTGTATTGCATATACTGTAGAAGTACTTTTTTTCCATGTGGTGTTAATTTACGCATGTACACAGTCATAAATTTTCCACGGAAATTTTTCACATTGAACTTAATACAAATATAAGGCATATATTAAGGACATTTTTAAGTTATCCATGTAATTCTCTACCAGCGGATTGAACAGAAATAATAATACCGCGGAATTAAGACCCCGTGGAAAAAAGTACTTCTACAGTACTTACAAGAATGTCTTTCACTTTTTAACTTATGAGTTTTAATATATCAATTAGTATACTGTTTTAACTATGTACACATTCCTAAGTAAATTGTTTTTTATGTACAGTACTGAGTAATAAAACCGATATTATTAAAGATATTAAGTATAATATTAACAGATATATTGTAAGTGCACTTATAAATGAACAGCAATGCTCTACCATTCCCTAATCTTGGACCACAAAAAAATCAATACATTTCTGTTCTATATATATACACATATTTCCAAGATGGAAAAGATGAAATCAATAATATAAAGTTTCACTGATCACTAAATTTAGACTTCATTTTCATGTCTTGCTTTATTCTGAGCCAGCAGATAGTCTATGTTATCGTACGCCCCGTCGTCCAGCGTCGTGGACACCGACGGACTCCCCAGTGTATTCCACAGCTCCTGCATTTCTGCTATTTCTGTCTCATTTGGCCCATGTATAGAGGCAAACTCCCCGGTGTCATTGGGAGGGGGTAAAATAATGGGCTTTTTTGGGGGGAAATCATCATCATGTAGGCACTGGTAAGAGTCAATGATGTTGGCTAAGTTCCTGTCACCTTCAGAACCGATTGACTCCTCAGAGCCTGAGGGGAGGGGTGTCACTAAAGCCACGGGGGAAAATGTCACAGTTTTGGGTTTTTTACTTTTGTGTCCTCTCTGAGGGAGTGAGGAAATCACCCGTATTTCTGTCATTTCTGACAATGGTTTCTGTGGATTCATTGTGAAATACCTCTCTGGGTCACTCTCGGGTACGGAGCAGTAATCCGGGGGAGGATCCAATAGGAGGGGTAACTCTGGTAACTCCGGTAACTCTGGACTACGAGGCCTGGGAGGCACCCCGTTGACCTTGACCTGGTTAATGGGAGAGACAGGAGGCTCGGGGTCTATTTCCTCTGCTGGCCCCTGTAGGAAGGCCTCCTTGAGCTTTTTATCGGCCTCGTCATCTAGTTCAGAGAAGTTGGTCAGTTTCATGGGACTGCGTTTGATAGAGCAGTATCGGTCCTCTTCGTACTGGTATTTCTTATGAGTGGCATTTTTATCATCAGGGTGGTACACTTTGCCTCGTACCATGGGAGAAGGAATCACCTCTGGCATCTTAGGAAGGTTACTCCTTTCCCTCTCACTGAAAATTCAAGACAGAAGTCAATGAAAGAATCTGATTCAGAATCCATTTTTAAAGAAAATTCCAGTAATGAAATGACCCATCAAGAAGTTAGTGACATGATACGATAGTACAAAAATAGCTAGGCTTTATCATGCTCATTCTCTTAAATATTTTGATGTAGCTCTTTGAATACAATAAATCTTTAACAATATGTCATAAATCTGCAAATGAGATGTACTTTTTGTGGACTTACCGAGTACAGTGGACTGCTATGGCTACTACACACACAATGAGGATAACAGCCATTGCCCCTGCTACCCCTCCTATTATGGCAACTATAAAAGGACATCAAGGAAAATTTTAAAATATATATACATCAGGTTATTATGACATGAAAATGTTAATGTTAAATGTCCTATCAAATTTGTTTTTGTTTTTTTAAATAATTTCAATTTTATAGTGTCAGTATCACATAATTTCAAAATCCAGATTTTCTATGATTTTGTCAAATTTGCCATATTTTAATGTTTTTAAACAGTAAATGACACATATAATAAAAGTATAAAATTCTAACTGAATAACCCGATCCCACATGAAATGAATATAAAAACAGAAAATTTTCCACTTACTCATATCTGGAATGATCTGGCTTTCTATCAGCTCATCAGGCACCGTCCCGTTTCCTGAGGGGGATACCGTCCCCAGGGGTGATACTGTGACCTGAGGGCTGTCAGTGGATCCTCCCTTTGTAATATTTCTGTACAGTAGCTGGTCCATAGCCTCCCCACAGTAAATAACTACGTAGTCCTCCGGCTGTTGGGCTGAAATTAATATGGCTGTGTTAAGGTAGTTATGGCTATGTTAAGGTAGTCTGACAATGGGAAGGAACAGACAATGCTGCAATGTCAAGTGTCAGTTTTCAAGGTGAAATAAATGCTTGTAATACTGGTAACTAGATGCTGTACCTAAATAAGAGTTTAAATGTCTTCAATTTTTATGTAAATCAGGAAGTATTATTTGATTTATGTATAATTTTATATTCCATGTTTTGTTATAATTATGCTATCTTTTGAGAAATATTAATTGGTCCTATAAAAAAGCAATATTAATAAAAAGTTTAAATATATATGTGTTTGCACATGGCTTCTCTTTGTAAAAAAACATATGTGGGTATCCCAAACTGCACACTATATCTGTGTTTTTATGACCACAAATGATCGTGTTACATGAATTTGAATGAAGTGTTTTTCTAACATATTGCTAAACCTGACAGTATTCCATATATATATGTACCTTTGTGGACTTTTCTCACCTCTGACATTTATCCAGATATACCCCCTAGAGTCCTGCGACCGACTGTCCAGTGTAACGGTCAGGTTGGTCACCATCCTGTGATAGAGGTTTCGGAACCCATACATCCCGCTCTGTCCACACTGGACAACCTCATCGGGGCGGGAGGAGGGATCGGACACACGGAGCTGCTGGGGGCACGTGTCCGTTTTCTCTGGGAGGGTGATCATGATGTCTATGATGTTGATGGAGATCCCCATATTAGACCTCACCAGACATTTACAGTACTGACCTCCTCCTTTGATTGGGAGGGGATAGTTCTGGTTGGAGAGGTAGAGTTCTTGCCCTTGTTTGATTTCATTGTTGCAGAATTGGGCAATGTCAGACTCTAGAAATTAAAAAAAAAGAATTTTTTAGCATAGTTTTTCTTCTAAATCATTAAATTCTATTTCAGAATTAAGTGATACATTTCATTTACAAAGTACTGAATGATAGTAAAACAATTTAAGAACCAGACATTAGAAAACAGTGAAATTTAAGGGAGATAACTCTTGTTAGAAAAAATACATGTATGTTAGAATGCAATTTGAGGGAGGTAACTCTTGTTAGGGAAGAAGTAATATCTTTCATCCTAATTCATGTGTTTTCATTCCTTTTACTTTGTTTATATATTTATATTTGTAGTAACCAATACTGACCACTAACACAGCTGTAGACCACAGTCATGTAAGTGGTATGTTTAATTTCCCTGGCACAGTGGTGCTTGGTTCGAATCTTCTCCACCTTGGTTTGACAGTTCTGGTACCCGGAGCATCGGATGTTCATGGTGGTGTAAATATCGGAGTTAGGGACCAGGCAGTCCCCCTTACCCCGTTCACAGCACCCAGAGGACCAGAGAGGGCTCCGCTTGCTACAGCTTGAGTCCAGCTTGGCTCCATAGTACACTCTCTTGATGGCTATCTTGTGTTTGTCTGGACATTCTAGTTTGATTTCATCATCATTACAACCACTGACATAAATGTTTTTCATCTGAGCTGCTTGACTCACTGTAAACAGAAAGAAACATGTGTTGAAAAATGTTATGCCTAAAACAATGGAGATCTAGGTCTATAGTAAAATGACAGAAAATGCATATACCCAATCTCTATTATTCTTTATATTCTAAATGTAACTCTTTTAATTCTGTAATTATCAAATTATAATGACAGAGTTTAAACTTCTGTTCATTGTTCCATTTTTTTTCCCAGTTTTTTTTTTTTACTTTACTCATTATATAAAAAAGTGCTCTTGCCAAGACAAATTTATATGGTCAATAAGGCCTAGATCAAAAATATGACTGCCACATTCCTCCCTCCTTCAAGGTCTTTAGTCCCTCAAAGACCCCAACCCAGGCTCATTCCTCAAAGGCCTCTCACCTGTCAGTTTAAGGGCATGGGATGGCACCAAATGTAATGGGAAAGGAGAAAAATGCAGCAGACCAGACTGGGATTCTAACCCACCACAATTCATTAAATTATCAAACCATGTTTGATTATGATATGGTTCAAACTTCTGTTCATTATTCCTATTAGAGGGATTTTATCATTTTTTATGTTTACTTTATTTAAAGAAATTGAATTGTCAAGATCCTTGTATATATGTGAATTATATAGCTGTTTCATTGGGCTTTTGAAATAATAATTATGATTTCATTATCTAGCTCAAGAAAAGTTCAGCGCTTTTTAAAATAAAAAGGTTTCATTCTACAACAATGAAAAATAATTCAGCAATACATCCAAGTGTGTCATATACATAATTATGTATTGTATCTCTTCAATAATTAACATTGTAAAAGCAGCAACCCCAAATACTTCATTTGTTAATCCTGGGCCCTGCACCTAAAGCAACATTTTCAGCTTTAAGTACAACTGTTTACCTGAATTTTGGCTTTGCTCCTGTTCATTTTCATCAAGTACAGAGAGATCTTTGCTATTTTTGCTGTGTAGTAGATCATTTCAATGTTTTTCCCTAAGCTCATGGGTTTGTGTCACTCAAACCTCAACTATATCAGCTGTTCTCTATTTACCAACATTCAAGAACAATTACAAACACATTTCAATCATGAAAGGAATGCCAAAAAGCTTTCTCTCTCACATATATCCATAAGAGTTATCTTTCTTGGATAATAAATGGAGTTGAAAATCCCTCCTTCTAAATTTTGCACCAAAATTGATAGCAGGTCAAAAAAAAATATTGTGTGAATAAGAAAGTAAATTCATTTTAACATTCTTTTTATTTGAAAAAAGAAGAAATTTACAAACCACCTTTTAAAGCTGAGATTATATATTCTACTTTTTTTCCCATCAGGGCATTTCTAATTTCTATCCTCGCCCCCTTCAACAAAAAAAAAATGATCCTCCCTTGTGTTCCTTGAGATGTTAATAAAATCCTCAATTATAAATCTCAATCATCAAAACTTTCATGTCTAAAAATATGAAAAGAGATTGACATTTTGTGCTCCACCCAACTTCTCTTTCCACAGCAACAGCACTTGTGTATGAATTAGAGAATCTTCTTTATTTCTAACAGGAAAAACTCAATTATTGAGAAATAAAGATGTCAGTTCGCATTGGATTTATCTCGAGATAAACAGGATGGTGAAAGACATCTCTATGTTATGATTGAGTTCACAGTAAATCAAGTGTGAAAATGACAAATTGACTTAGAGCTCTTAATCTCAAGTGGTTCTAGTGATTTTTTGGGGGGCATTCACACTAAGTCTTAACATTTCATAATGCCATTTCCTTATTGTGTTTGTTAGAAAATCAAACAAATGTTGTTAAGTGTAAGCTAGGAGGTGATGGGGAAGATGGAAGAAATGTGTCCTACTTTATGTAAGGGTAAGCTATTGCCAAGAGAAAAAAAATCATTTCCTCCTGTTAGGTACGTATTATGTTTTCCAAATGATGGAATTTTTTTCCTGGAGAGGGAGGGCTATTATAATCAATGTTTAAAATTAGTCTTTTACTACCTTTTTTAAATCCTGTCCTAAAATTAAATTGGTCTTTGACAGGCAAGTGTAACAAGAAAGGTGAAAATTCATGAGTTGACAGGGAATATATATCGTGGGACCCCTGCATCACTACTCAGGTGCTCTACCAACTTGAACTACCCTGGTCGATACCCACTGCTGTAACCAGTATACATAATCCTCCCTCCTATTTAAGTTGTCTTCAACAGAAAATGCAAATCAGGGTCAGACTTGGAATCAAACTGTGTCCCCTGAATCTCCAGTCAGGTGGTCAGTCTGGTCACTGATGATTGAAACCTTTCTCCCTCCCTTAAGTTTTTTAGCTCAAGTCAACTATTCATACTGTTATTAAGAGTACAAATGTACTAAACAGGTGCTTTATGGAGTTTCAAACAAAATCTTACGAGCATGCATGCTTCAGGCTCTGCAGCAGTCTAATGAAAACAAACAGTGGTGTAGACAGAGACTTTGAAAATTGATATAGAATGTATGAAAATGTCAGGAACAAGAAATGTAGACAAAATACATGTGGTGTGGTGACCAGAATCATGATGTGACCCTGTAGTGTGTTTCAAGGGATTGAAATATTCCAGATGGAAACATGCCTTTTGTTGTGATTAGTTCCACCCTGGAAGTCATGAAAATGTTTGATACAGATATCCCAGAACAAAAGGTTAGGTTCTGTTATGATGGTGGAGCCCTAATTTGCAACAGGCCTGCATAATTATTTATCAAGAAAATGGGTGCAATAGAGATAAAAGATAAAAGAAAAAATGCAGCTCTGAAATATGAACAGTAAATCTGTTAGAAATTATTATTTAGGCTGCAGAGATGGAGCTAGGAGTAATTGATTGTCTGGGAGCTTAATCAGACAGGTTTTGTTAATTATCTCTTATATAATGTAGATAAAAAAGACAACTACCTAAGGGTTCATGATAGTTTTGTGTCTCCTTATCAAAATATCCACACTGAGCATAAAGAGTGTGCTTAGTGTTCAAAGGGGAAAAAAAGGTTATTAATTGCTTTTGCATGATTTATCAAATTTTCAAATTCTAATGAGACTTTCAGCAATAAAGATTGAATTTTACAATTTAACTCCCAACTTGTATGTGAAAAAAATAAACGAATACTGAAAAAATTTAAAAGTGTTTAATTTCAATTTGTAGGAGCTGAAGTGTTGAAGGAAGTTAAGAAGACAGTGAGAATGAGTGTGGCTTGGTAAGGAATGTGTTGACTGCGGAGGTAAAGAGGCCAGGCTTTGAAGTGAGCAAAGGTGAGACTCCATAATGGAGTTAATGTCACGGTTCACCGCACATCCAGGAAACAGGTTGCTGTAACATAATCAGCCAGACTATAGCCAGCAATGGCTAGGGTCTTAAAGATGTAGTGGGAATCTCCAAGATTTTCATCACCCTGGGAATTAAATAGCTTTCTAAGATTCTTGTTCATTATCAATGCCATTAATTGAATAGATGGAGGATTATAACCTTTAAGTTTTATGAAGCAGTAGTTTTTAGATCTACTGAAACTTAAAAATATAAGTGAATCAAACAATAAAATTTATGTTTCATGACCCAAATTGGCATACCACACATGCAAAGTTGAAATTGCATACAAAATATGACTCCTTCAGTTTCAAAATACAAATTTATAGTTAAATCCATTGTGTATTATATTTGCGGAAAATTTAGTCACAGGATTCCCCACTTGGGACAGTAACCCATTATTTTTTGAGTTTATTCAACATGCATATATACTGCTCTCATTCAAATATGCAAGATGAAATAAAAGAATGAAACCTGTCGGCAGTAATTTCAAATAATGCAACTTCATTTGTCAGGAGATTCAGTAGCTGTTCTAAATGTCCAATGCCAAACAAATTATTGGTTGATGAAAAACAATATTGAATGTAGTTGAAATTAAACATGATAATTTTCTGCTGCATATCCTGACAGGAGAATTCCCATCAGAAGCATGCTGAGCATGATGGGAAGATTTGTAGATGTCAGAGGTTTTAATCAGAACATCAGCACATGAGACAAGATAAATACACAATGATTCATTTACTGCATTCCAAATTTAACAAGTGGCTAAAAGTCCAAAATTGCTTCTGTTTTGATTTTAATCCAGAGAGAGAGAGAGAGAGAGAGAGAGATGCAGCTAATCAGACAGACAGACAGATAGAGAGAGAGAGACTTTATCTTTAAAAAATGAACATTTTGATTTTAAAAAGTACAATCAGATAAACTTATAATTACAATAAAGTACATTTGCTAGACTGATATGAAATTACTAAGCACTAATTATCTGATTTACTCTTAGGTGGTTTATAGCTATGCTGCAAGATTTTACAAAAAAGATACACCTGTAACAGGTAGCACAGGTGATTTGTCATTAGAGGACTATTAGAGATGATATTAAGCTAACAAACAAGTTAATTGATGCAAAGCATCAAATCAGCCGCTAACATATTTAACGTCAAAAAAGTACTTTCACAATTAAAAGCATTCATGCAAGAAAAGAACAGGATATATTCAAAGCTAAAATAGTGATCAGTTTATTTCAGGCATTTGCTCATCCAATAGATTCATCGATGTAAAAAAAAGTCTGATTGTATATGCATGGGCGTCGGATGCAAATCGAAAGTGGGTCGGGGGTGGGAGATGGGCTAATTGAACGGGGGTGGGGGGTGCTAAACCAACAAAAAATGGCAAAGCTCCTTATATTTGCAAAAAAGTGGGGGGAGCTACCCCCCCCTCCCGGTTCCGACGCCTATGATATGAGAAATTATTGTCATCAAAATGAAGATGTATGCCTTTCAAGATATACCACGTACTGATACCCTGGTTATAATTTGTCACGTGATAATGTATATATGATTTCTGCAGAATAGGCTATGCTGCATGTTGCGGTGCAAAATGTATAAAAATAATCTTTGTGTCATTCGTAGCTGTAGCATTTTCAAACAAGTTTTAACTAGTAGAGCAACTTTTCATTTTTTTATTCACCATGCACTTTTACCACGTGTAAGTCATTATTATCCGGAAAATCATAACGATTTCCTTTCATATCTTACACACTCCCTTGATGGGGAGTACCTATTGTAAACTCTTTTTATTTAACCATAAATTATCAATTATCTGATGCCAAATGATAATGAAATTGAAACAAAATAACAACGATTAAAACTTAATTTAAAGCACGTTTTTTAAAACATTTTACTCATGATTCTATACATGTTATCATTTGAAAATTATTTTACTGTACTAATAAAATAATAACATCCCATTTCCCCATGTGCACTTTCTAACACAACCACAAATAGATCGGCCGCTGCTGCGGCCGATAACAATAAGTTATAAACAACTGTTAGGAGTTAGGAGCTACTCCAGTATCTGAGGGAGCAGCCATTATTTTGGAGCTGTGGGGAGTATTGATTTTGTGATTTATCTTGGTTGTCAGTAGACATATTAAACAGTACTTGTGAGATAATTGGAATTGATGGAATATAACTATAATGTATCAATGTCACAGGTTTCTGTTACTCTGTGTGGGACTACATAGGATACAGAGGAAGTCCAGAAGGTTATTTGAACTTTTTAGAGCAGTGTACATGTACCAAGCTACATGTACATCTGTAGTGCTCATGGTACTGCTAAAACTGTCAGAACATTTATTTTACATGCTGTGGTTAAATGTCAAGTACATATTAATGTATTTTTGATTTAAGAATTCAAGAGAATTATTATCTATAGAAATGTGTTTGTATAAATACTGTAAACATCTGAAATGAACCCAGAATTTAATATCAATGCCACTGCATGAATTTGAAAGTGTTCACGTAGGAAACTGGAAATTAAGACACAAAAGTTTGATAGCATGGGCAAATAAATCTAAAAATACAATTTTAAAAGATTTCATATCAAGATATATGTATATCAAGCAAGATCATCATCTAGCTAGTACATGAATGACCTTGACGCCAATTATCATCTGATCAGCACCATGCAAGCCTCCAAATGAACCAGGCTCTCTTACTAAATCTAATTTCTCTGGCATATTCTGGCCATACTTCAAAAATTAACCACACCAACTGGGGATTTTTATAAACAGGGGTGTGATAAAATTGCAGCATTTGAAGACAGTTTATCATATTTTGATGATAAAAGCTGGCAATTGTTTTGCTTCATTTTTATCAGCATCAGTGAAGAGGCTGAAACATGCTTCCATAAATAATAGAGCTATAAACAATTCTTTGCTGCTCTGCATGGCCAGTGTGTCTAAGAGTTGGACTGGTCAGTGTAAGACAAATGCTTCTCTGGAACCATTGGCTCCAACATGCTGTTCTGTTTTATGAAGAGTTTTATTAATCTTGATAATAGAAAAAATGGAAAACATCCCTCAAGGAACAATATGCTGTAGAATGATATGAAACCATGAGGCCATTAGGTCAGGGTGTAAAGATGAACAGGCATTCATATTCAAATCTGAAAATGGTTTCATTTTTGAAAGAAAATCATTTTTCTCTATAGAACAATCTTCCCTAAAAATTAGCAAATCAGTGAAAAACCTTGAATGTAATATACCAGTAATTCAATTTATTCCATTTTTTGTTATCTAATAACATTTAAAAATTATAGTCTAAAAAAAATGAATATCAACAATGAACACCTAAATTCTATTTAATTGAAGAAAATTAAGGGCACACCCGGCACGGATACTCAAAATATTTCTAATCCAAGTGCTTCTAACCTAAAACATTATGCATGTACCAATAATTTGGCAGTGATGTGTGAAATTCACCCCCTAATTAATACTTAATTGAAGTTAGAGATAAGAAATTCCCCTAACCTCATCCTGTCAGCAGGTCCCCCCTATCTCTGTCTGAAGTTGTCTCCCCTGCCGAGAGGTCACTCACTCATGTTTACATCAAATGAAGTGGAATAATTGATTCATAAATGTCACTGTCTGATTGTTACATAAACAAATTAGAAGACAGGACCATTAGGATAAATATTTATATAGAGTATCAGATATTCCTTGGTGAATATTCAGCCTAATCCACGCTCTGGTGGTAGAGATGTGCGCAGACTCTTTTGTTTTTGAGTGTTTATGTTTTTACAAAAATAGGTGTTCATTATGCACCTGTGCATTTGGGATATGCTACATTGTGCAATAATAGCAAAACCATGTTAACAGAAGGCTACAAATTAAAACAAGAAATGAACTCTATATTTGGTGCATTTTTTCGAATGCATTTCTCATTTCAAGTCATCTCATCATCTGCATGACTTTTTTTTGCAACTGGCCCAAGCATAAAAATTTTATATGTACATGTATATGCATGTGTAAATGAAATAAGTGATGAAAGAAATGAGTAACAATCAGGGTATCAAATATAGCCGGACAAAAAAATCAAATACGAGATCAATGCAACAGTTTACACATTATATGGGTATTACTGTGATGCTGTTCATCAATGGAGAGCCTGGGCCTGAGGTCAATGATTCCAAAATCTGTTTGTCTTTTACAATCATTAGCAGAATCAGGGGGCTATATTTGTGAGAGAAACATAAGAAATAAAAACAGCTTAACCCCCTCTGTATAAACAGTGGATTAAGATGTGATGGATTGGCCACAGACACACTCAAAGTAGGAAACAAAAATCAGTTCAAGAAAAAAAATTTCATGAGTGGTTCCTGGTTAACCACATCATGCAACAACAAAATTCCACAAGTTGTTGCATGCTTAACTCTTCATTTTCTTTGAAATTTGATAAAAAATGCTCATATGTGAAGAAAGTGCAATTATTTTTTTCTTCTTTACTATTGACCAAGATGAATGAAGAGTGAGTGTCATTGCAGTGTGAGGGAGAGGCTGGGGTAGAGTGAGAGAGAGAAAGAATGAGAGGACAAAAGTTAATAACATAAACCTATTATAACTTAATCATTCTTGCACAATTTGTCAGTTTTAAATCTTAAAATCTTAAGACTTTCTTCCGGGATATCTTAAATCCTCATATATCTGAGGATCCTAATCTAGGTCCCATCAAGTTCTAGAAACCAATGTTTGACTGTATCCGGAATTATACGTCAATGAAACCCTCCCTATATAGGTTCTATGAGTGACCTGTCCATTGTTTTATGAGGTCATGTCCACTTTGAATGGCACCATGCGTTAACTTAAGGTCCTTGTTTTTCCTCAGAAGATTACAATTAATCCAACATTAGTGATATGACCAGCAGACGACTCCCACTTTGCATGCTACATCTTCGGCCATGTCGACCCCTATCCATCATATTCTTGTTTTCTCTTATTGGAATCAATATTGATATCTGAGAAGGCTGCTAAGATGACAGATCATTAATCTAAAGGAACCCTCAGTATCTCACAATCAGAAATCATTAGGACTTTCATCCAAGACTTGTGTCTTGTGTATTCATGGTTTTTCTGGAAACACTGAATCACCTTGATATACAGTGTAACATTTTACATTAAAAAAAATTTCTTGTATATTTGGGGAGGATAGTTCACAAAGAATTTGGGGGGTGGGGGTGGGTGAATATTGTATTTTTGCATGCAAAGCACTGAGATATTAACCTGGATTGAGTGTCGATCCATGGTTTAATATTTTGCATCTTGCAATTGATTTAAATTTTAAACCTCAAAATGTGTTAATCTATTTATTTTTTAGAAAAAATCTAATAATCTTTGGATTACAAAAAATATAAGATGTTGCGATTTGCTTTATATTCCAGCATTCCCACCAACCCAACATAACACTGGGTAGAAAGAAACAGCTAGCTCAAAAATAATTTATTAGGTTTTTCCATTTTCTGTTTTGCAAAATTTCCAAAATTTCATGTAAAAGGTAGATACTGGAATAGTATATACACACCATTTTCAAATAATTGCAGATCATGATTCATCTAAGGAGTGCACAAAATCCCAAAACACTTTTTTTCACCTTGAGATAAGCTAGCATGCAGATTTGAATCTTAAATCATCACTGCCAATGAATTTAAAATCTCAGTCAATTTTCAAGTGTAAAAAATACATGCAGAGACCTTAAAATAGCAGTCAATGGAGAAATCTCTACAGGACAGTGTTTATGTTACCTATCAGATGATGAAAGGCTTTGAACTCACCTTGTAAAACAGCACCAACCAGGAACAGCAGCTTATTCCAAACAATACAAGCATTCATTGTCACTGCAAGGCTTCACTAACACTTCAGAACTTCTCAAGATGAATTAATTCTGGATGAAAAGCAATCACTTCAAGCTTGTTCTAGGGGAAACCTTAAAAGAGCCCCTTCTTTGAAGATGTACAAAATGCACAATCACAATTTTACAGATGCAATGAAAAGTTTCACAGAAATAAGATGATTTTCCACTCCTTTCAGAAGATTCCTAGAAGTTCCCAATCCTTTGAACAAATTTCCAAATATTTTCACTCCATCCAGTAATTTCAAAATTTCTCACTTTTTCTTTGGTGTCAAATATTTTTATAATTCCTGAAACAATATCCATATATTAACAATGCAAATACTTATTTTTCAGTATTGACAAATCACTGTGTCCTCCATTTGGTTATTAGAGTTCACAAGTGCATCTATCCGAGCAAGTTATGGGACTATTTACTTTCTACTTGTGACTGTATGTCCAGTCCAGCATCACAGTATCACTTCTAACAGTCCACTGCAGCTATATATAGTATTCCCAAGTTTTCTGTTTACTCACTGTAGTGGTTATAGGCCCATCTCTCCCATCCAGCTCATTATACCTGCAAATTAATACAATAGGCGTGTAATTAACTACAAAGCTTATCAAGGCTGTCCATTGCACTTTGAACTTGTAGGGGGTAAAGGTCATAAAAATAGGCTCCTCTACATTCTTGTGGTTTACAACTGTTTATTAGTGGATAATTATTTAATCATGTGATTATGGGTGTTCACAAAGAATTCCTTGCAAAAAGTGGAACTGAAAACAAGCAGCAAAATAGAATGATATATCAGTTCTTTCAGGAAAGATCTGCATTAAATTAGAGAAGTATGCAAGGCAGCTCTTTAACAAAGTAACAGCAGATTTGGGCCTTAATGAGTTGATATGCCAGTGTTTATAGGAATTCTGTGGCCGCATCATAAATATTATGGAAAATCTGATGGAAAAGTGTTTAAAAGCTGTAAAAAGAAGTGCAATCAATGAAAAAAACTTTGATTCAGCAAAGTTTGATGTTGAATGTTAAAGACATTTTTTGGCATGCTTCTTTTGTGGGCTGTTAATCTGTTTTATTGATTGAGATTAAATGAACAAAAGCTAGATAAAGCTCACAGATAGAAGGATGAAAGACATCACAGGAGAAACTCGAAACATTAAACCTGCAGTTTGTTGAACAGGGGAAGTGAAAATAAAACACAAGACAATTACATGGTGCTTATCTCGTCAATACAGTTTTTAGCCCCAATTCTGAAAATCAATAAAACTGGCAGATGTTTGTTGTGGGGTATTGCTTTGATGATTGTAAAAGTTTTAATATTGGAAATTCTATAAAAATAATTTACTGTTTGTGAATTCCACAAAGATTTATGGTTATTTTATGCATATTATGCTTTTATCTGCAAACTAGAAACATGTACTGATTATTTAGTTATAAAGACTATCCATTTATTATAAAATTCCCTTTCATTAAATGCTTCATGATCTTGATACATTAATTGAAGCTATTTTTAGATTTTATCAAACAAAGAACTAAAACTGCAAACCATTTGTAAAAAAAAAAAAAACAAAAACAAAAAAAAAACAAGATTATAATTTGTTACCCCCCCCCCCTCATAAAAAAACCCAGAATTTTAATGCACCATTTTACTTTAAGAAAACAACTGATGATATTTCTAAGAATCATAAACATCTCAGCAGTGATTTACCAATTTAGATAGCTAGGAATCCAGTGTTATTGTAAAACACAATTACTTGCCACTTATCCATTAAGGAGCTTCCCCTGCCCCCTGTTGTTTTGTCTTTATTCCATGCCCAGAAATCATGGCAGACTCTCTATGGGGTGCAATTTATATAACAACCCTATTTAGCACAACCCTTCCTGAGTGGTTCTTCCAGAAAAACTAGATGGCCCATGAAAGAAGAACTGAATTAAAGATATCAATTAAAAATATTATCTGTGATGATGAATCGTAAAACTCTTTATCCTATCAGAGAGCCCTGCCCTGTACAGGAAGCAGTGGTTCTATAAAAAGATTTGACAAGGTCAGATGTAAGGGGAGATAAGGCCCCCCTGCTGGGATAAAAATGGCTGGAGGAACTCCATGCTCCTGATAAAGCAAGACATGGCCATTTTGTTTCTCAAGTTCAGGATATAATTTTTTATAAAGACATGTTCATTCACAAACAACTTTAAGTTTATAGAAGTAAATCAAGCACACTTCCCTAATCCCTTCTTCAGGGGTGTGTGATTCATAATTTATATACTATTATAATTGTATTTACATTTTCTTGAACATTTCCGATTAGCAACAGAAAAAATAACTGGGAGGAAAATCTTACCTTATGCTTATTTAAGTTATTTTTAATCCCAAAAAGATAAAGTTAAGCAAGTGCTAGGGAGCCCTAAAACTGTAGGATTTGCAGTTTACAAACTAAGGGTTCAAATAAAGCCACTGCAATGACGTGAACAAATTGCTGCAACAACTACCCCCTAATCCTGCATCTTAATCCAACCCAGGCATCTGGCTTACACAGAAAAAAATCGGGAGGGGATTCTCCCGAGTGATTCCTTAGTGTTAAACCCTTTATAGAAAAAAATTCAGTTGAGTGAGTGCTTTAATTTCTGATTACTGTATGAATCTCTCCATTTGCATTGCCATCCATATGTTGCATGAGTGAAACTTTTTGATCCTTTTATGTGAGATACAGATGCTGCATATTAATGAGGCAAATCTGGCCATGATTTCTTGATTGGTTTTTTTTTTCAACCTTTTCATCATGCCCCAGTGATCTGCAGTCAATTAAAAATAGGGGGAAAACCAATAAATGAGTTTATTTCCTAAGGGTTGTTGATTTAGATTAAACTGCAATATCAAATATCTTAAAGAAAAAAAAATCTTCGTTTTAATATCAGTTTATATGTTTACAAGTACTTTTAAGTCTCTTCAATTTTTAACAAAAATCTAAACATAAATATATGAGTTACTATTTTTAATCAAAGGATGTTTCTTTATCATAAAAATACATAATTAGAACATTTAGCTGTCTGCTTTCTAAAATTAGAATCACTAATGAACATGCACCCATTTACAAATAAAAAAAATCAATGTTGTAAATATTTAAAATTCTTTTAACTTTCCCCAGCAATTCTTTCTTTTCACAATTCTACAGATGGACATGAAACTTGTCTCTCAAATCCCCTGGGAAGTCTGATAGCAGAGTCCTTTTGTAGGGCATTCATTGATATACTTTTAGAATGCATATTACAATTTTATAATATGGCAGTCACAGCTGAGATTTTCTATGAGTCATAGGGTAGCAATAATTTCAAAGATAATTTTCAAGTTCTAACAGTTTGTAATTTGTTAATAATAGTTCTCTCCACTTGTTCAAGTGTAATATGATAGTAATTTGATAACAGTTATTGCTTGAGAGAGAGAGAGAGAAAGAGAGAGAGAGAGAGGAGAGAGTCATTTTGAAAGAAAAAAAGTTTATTTTCTATTAACTTGAACCCCTATGAGGCAGATGTCCATTTTTCTTTTAATTCAGGGCCATGATAGAATTAAAGGAGAAGATTGTAAAGATTCTCATAAAACTGTTGCTTGTAGCAATGCGCAATTTATTATGTGGTCAGAAAAAGTAATTATGGCCGCATCTTTAATGTCACCTTAAAGTCTTTGTGGTCACAATGACAGGGGTATTTATCTTTGTTTAAGCTTTTCCCAACTAAGTGATTATCATTAGTACGCCTGCGGTGACAGGCCAATAAAGATTTCAAAAGAGAGATTTAAGAAAAATTAGCCATAGAGGTTACAACTGAAGTAAATACATGTAAAAATAAGAAAAAGAAAGAAATGATTCAATACCTTGAAATTCGTAGAATGTCCCTTTGGATTTTTTATATAAACGGATTTCAGAAGCAATTGATAAAAATCCTGCACCAACAAAAAAAAAAATTATACACTTACAATCCGACATCACAGTACGCCATAAGTTCACAGAGAAGTCAGTGCTAATAACTCGGAGCGCTGCACAAAAATGCTCCCAGTCCGTACTACACCAAGTAACCCTGTACAACTACTGCTACCAGATAGATATCTGCCCCACATGAAGACGGTGGATACACTACATCGCTCACTACCTAATAGCTAGCTATAACACAGAATTCCGGCCGTAAAGACGCTACTTTGTGCATCTCTCTGACCTAAAACAAGTACCTGTATCGGTAAAACCGATCAACCTCTGGCTCCCCGCTGAATCAAATACACCCCAGCATTCGTGACCTACATGTAAGTTTCCGCCAAACCAATGTACACGGGTCCTGTAAGTCTGTCAAGGTGTACCAGCCTCTTTGCATCCTCTGATACAGCGGTGATAAGGGGGAGAAGTTAGATAGAGCCCGGGATGCTGAATTCCCCAGATGTCCAAAGACAATGGGTCTAATCGCGAATACTCAACATTCCAACTTAAACAGTGAGATTGAGGGGAGATTCTGCCTGGAATTGCCGGTAATTCACATCACTTTCATCTCCGGGCTATTACAGGTGATTATGAGGGGAAATAATGCTGGAAGAATGCAGTTTTGGGGATTGCAGTCATAAACTAAATCTATCTGTATAGTTTGCAACAGTAAAATCTTTCGAAGAAAGAAGTTTGACGGAAAATCTATTAATTTACTAATAATAAAATATTTATTTATTAGCTTTTTTTTAAAAATCCCCTTTCTGGTTTTATCGGATACAGAATGTCAGGATTATTTGTTTGAGGGTTCTACATCGGTGAATATTCAAAAGTGCCAAGGGCCGATGCCGATTTAATATATTGATCATTGATGACAAAGAACGATTTGAGTTCGGATAACATCTGCTTTTTTTGGTTGTACATGCAGTTAATGTTTTAGTAGAAGCCATTTTAAATGCAATCCAATAAACAACCATCAATCAGATTCAAACGGTGGTGTTTTATGGATGGTTTATTTTCTATATCAATTGATCTGAAGTAGTGTTTTAAATCAATTTAAATAAAAAAGTAAAATGGTTACTAAAGGCCTGAATTAGATTTCAGGGTAACCACAAATCTCTATTTCAAAAATTATGGTTAAATATAACTTGAATTGCTCTGCGTGGAACTAGATGTACACTTGGATGATAAATTTATGAAAATATTTCATACAAGTGTCGTTTACCGATTTTTATTTGAAAATTATAATAAGTATACGACTATACTTATTTTATTTTTCAAATAAAAATCAGTAAACGACAAAAGTAAAGACTATATTTCCAGAAAACATGCAAATTTTTTCCCATTTTAAAAATCTAAAAAAAAAGGGGGGGGGGGTTATCACTGAAATCTTGACACAGAGAGGCAGATGTCTGGATGATGCATCAGCTACCCTGGAAACTGGATCCTCTCAGCCTCCATTATACCGGGTAAATGACTCACACCCCCATCAAGTGGCAGGTGCTCGTTAGACTCACCAGCCATCATAATAGAAAAGTCGGCCCCGACGCTTAACCAATGTTAATTATGTCACCAAAGCAGTTATTTTCTTAATCACTCAAAGGACATTTTTAAAATAATCATTTTTTATCGGTTCGTCTGTCATCATGCGTTATTGATCAATATTGAATCCCCAATGTTTACAGTTTACAGAATGGCATGTGCTATAAAAGTAACATGCAAAATTTAAAAGAATCTTTTTAATTAAAAAAAATGGCAGAATTAGAATTAATATGCTTTTAATAAATTACGTGATTCAAACATTTAAAATGAAAAATCTAAATTCTTGTATTATTTAGGAATTATTTAAAATTAGAAAACATAAACAATTTTTTTTCAGTTGAAAAGATACTGTAACATGTATGCCAGCACATGCTATCAATTCTTAAAATCTGAAAAATTGACATATATGTTGGGTTGTTTTAGGTTAAGAAAAGTTTTATAGGTGAAAGCTGACAAGATGATTACTTATTCAAGTCAATATACCGTACGTTGGCATAAGTTCAGATAGCAAATGATGCAAAATGTAATGCGTGAAAAACAAAATCAAAACAAGTGCTAATTTGATCAATTACTGATTAAAAAATAATGAACGTTTTTCAATACTCATTTCATTATTTATCATCGCTTGTTAAATTCAGTTATGTCTAATCGAAGTGCATACTTTAATTTTTAGGGGGGTGGGGTGGGGTAAGTGTTTAAGAAATTTTTTTAAGATAGAGTGCAAAGCACCGCTTCAGTGGCAATCCTCTGTTCCACCAAATATTTCTTGAGGCATGAAGAACTATCCTATATTACTGTTTTTAGAAAGTTTAATTGAATTATCAGACAGGAACGTAAACCCACGAGAGAAAACCTAAGATAACTTTCACTTTTATTTCCAGAAATAAAGATAGCTGAGATTTCTGTTTCAGTAAATGTACTACTAGAAAAGTTATTTCCATTGAGTCCATGCAGAATGGTAAATTCATTAATTATGATCACAGTGACCTGCGTATTAAAATTAATAATTAAGATCAAAAGATAATTTTTATGTAATGTCATATCCAAGGGTATACCGGAATCTACAGAGACAGCTTTAATTTATGCATATCATTTTCAGTATTTTTACATGCTCTTTAAAAACATATTTTGAAGAATTCACAATATTTGGTTTTCTTTTGATTTGCCTCATATTCTTTAATTAAGAAATTACTATATTTATTTTTCAGACTGGCAAGTAAATTTGAGTAGAGTTAGTCACAGTGTAAATCGCTAGTAAAAAAAAAACTGTCAAGTTGGGGAATTCTTAATATGAAATACTTGCAGTTATATTGAAACCTCTTGAATGAGATCACGAACCAGTTAAACAGAATAGTAAAATAACTGTATTCCACTTACTTTTAGATAAGCATGGTAAGCTCTTCCTAGGCTATATAATATTTCCTGTACGAGTACATTTCTTTTTGGCACGGAATGAAAGAAATATACACACGCATCCTGGATATTACAATCTGAAGCAAGAATTCTTACAAACGTTACTCACTTTACAGCCCCGCAACCGAAGCTGGCAAGGTCAAGGTCAGATTTATCCTAAGATGAGTTGAAGAGGAGATATGACATGGGTAATGTGTGGGGATTTTTTATTTATGAAATGCAGAAGTGTTATGTTCTCAATTTTTGCACTTTTCACTACTGCAATGAAAGCGTTCTTTATCTGGAATGAGTAACGTCCTTAATATACTTGTATACTACACGAACTCGTACCTGCTGGTAAATTCATATCTTGAATGCTACAGTGCCACAGTTAATTAAAAGTATCAAACCGAGAACTTCAAGTCCTTTCTTCTTTATATTTCTTACATCTTTTGTTTTACCCCTTTTCAGTCTTCCTTATTCTTAGTTTTAGCCTTTTTCAAACATGCAGAGAGGAAGTATTGGATTCCTGTGGGAAAATTCTTAGTTGGTCCATAGACCAATATAATGCATCTCTTGAACGCATTGCGCACGAAATTCAGTCTCACACAGGGACATTGTTAAAGATAAAGGTACTATATAATTGCTTATTATAAGTTATCGTTCATTTATTGGAGCTAATCGGGCCAATAATTTGATTTTACAGCAAGACTAATATGACTTAAATTGGTACGGTTAATTCAATTTGTTAGCTATTGATGTTTACATGGATACAGTTCCTACATGACATAAAGAAATGCATAACATTAGATCCAATAATAATTGAAAATGCATAAGGAACTTTATAATTTGTGGGATATGGGGTGAGAAAAGGTGTTCCCCCTTAGAATTCCCTAAGATTAGGATGCATAGGTACTACAACATTACAAGTACATTTAGTATAGAACAGATAGTATATCATAGGTTTCTTAAATTATCACACATTGTATGCCACTGGAAAAAAGGAGAATGGAGTATGTTCTTTTTACTGCACGGGATTCAGTTTAAGAATTTGAAAAGTATGCATGAACAACTAAGTTTTGGCCAGAGATAGAATGCTTATGAATTTTTTTTAATTATATAATGTTTATCATTAATTTAATGGTGTTTTGACCAAGTTGTCGGAGAACGACTGAACGTATAGATATCTGAAGATGTTTTCGCATTTGGAACCAACAGGAGTGCAAATTTTATTTGATGTATTTCAATATACAATGTTAAGTATATCGCTGGCATTGTTGAGTTGCAGACATTGTAATTAAAAGCAATGAAACACCCATAAACCCCAACAATCCTGGCAATTAAACTGTAAGAAAATTCCTGTTTATTATTAGGCATTAAATTAGTAATGTTCTTAGAAGAACATTATTTTTAACGATTCGGGGTTTTTTTTCCGAGTCGCTTCGTGACAGTTTTATCGTATTTGCATGTTTACGATACAGAAGATTTTAGAGGAGTTTCGAATGACATTTATATAAACACTTTTTGGATACATGTACTTTAGTAAAACATAGATGAGCATATTTTCCGAACACGTCATTCTATATATAATCTTAGTTTTATAACTCATGAGATCTAGAAAAAAGTTTCTACATAGAACAGCCGCTGGAAGAATGTCCACTTTATGATTTTCATAGGCCGCCCATAAGTATTCATTTACGTTCGTTGTCAAAGATCTTTTTATTTATTAAATTACCAATGGTCTTTTAATTAATTATTATTTTTTTGCTGGAGATCATTCTTGCTCAGTTTTAGATACTTGAAGAAAAGATTGTAATTTTGAGCTATGCAATGGGTACGTTTTTAGCTCACCTGAGCCGAAGGCTCAAGTGAGCTTTTCTGATCACATTTTGTCCGTCGTCCGTCCGTCTGTCTGTCTGTCCGTCCGTCTGTCTGTCCGTCTGTAAACTTTTCACATTTTCGACTTCTCAAGAGCCACTGGGCCAATTTTGACCAAACTTGGTACAAAGCATCCTTGGGTAAAGGGGAATTTAAATTGTTAAAATGAAGGGACATATCCCCTCGCAAGGGGAGATAATCAAGAAAAGGCAAAAATAGGGTTGGGTCATTAAAAGATCTTCTTCTCAAGAATCACTGGGCCAGAAAAGCTGAAACTTATGTGGAAGCATCCTGGTATAGTGTAGATTCTAAATTGTTCACATCATGACCCCCGGGGGAAGGGCGAGGCCACAATGGGGAATCAAAGTTTTAGATAGAAATATATATCAAAAATCT